TCTAAGAGCTGAACATGAAAGATTTCTCAATTTGTTCAACAATAATGAAAATTTCTATTTGCTGAAGGCAAAGGCTAGGTGACTTTGTTTCCACTGACAGCACTTTCTAGATAACTGACATTAATCTTTTAAATGGTCAGAGTTGTTTCTAATTTCAAAAGTCAAAATATTCAAATATACATATTACACACATCCTTAAGTTAGAATTTTCTTAAAACAACTTTAATTTTGGGATAGTGTGATAGATCAGGTGGTGAAGGCTCTTGCTGCCAAGTTGACAATGTATATCTAATCTCCAGGACACACATGGTAGAAGGAGAAAACAAACTCCCTCAGGTTCATGTTATGTTATGTTATGTTATGTTAAATAATAACAGATTTTAAAACGAATAATTTTGAGATAAAAATGGGGCCATGAAGTTGAAAGAGAGCAAGAAGGGGTACATAGGAGGACATGGAGGGAGGAAAGGGAAGGAGAAATGATGTAATTGTGCTGTAAACTAAAAATATTAAAAATATAATATCTTAGCTTTTTGTGACAAGAATGCTCATTCAGTAAGAACATAAACATGTTCTGCTGTTCTATATAAGCTGGTCTCTGCTTTGCAGATGTGCACAGTTGACATGTTCCACTCTAAATAAGACCAGACTGCTGTGCCTTTGGTTTTTTTTATACCAACATTTTATAGTTACTCTTCTCATTTTCATCATAAGATATTGACACCGCTGCAGTCATACTCATGTGGCTGTCCCTAATAATACTTCAGCCTATTGTTTACAGTGCTTCTTCAAATATACCATTTTTAAAGGGAGAACATAGAAAAAGTTTTGCAAAGATATAGAAAGAAGCTTTCAAATTAAGACTTTGAAGGCTGAGTGGTATTCATGAATTTTAAAAACCTAAGTTTGTTACATATACTTTCCTTTTACTTCCTACTTAAGGGTTCAGTTTCTCATCTAAGACCAGTTGCTGCTCAAGAACTGAGTAATTCTTGCCATGACCATGGTCTTAGGGTAGAAGCTGGTTCTGGACTCCAGACTACAATTACTGACCCAACACCAGTCACATTTTCCATGCCATCCACATATAGAACTATTTCTTTACCTCGGAATGTATAGCTATAACCATAAACCCATTTGTGATTATTTGATGTTTGCATCCTTCACTAAACTGCCAACCCCAGGGAAGCAGGGACCTCAACAAGTTGTGCTCACATTATAACCCCATTCCCTAGTTTATTACTCAACATTTTAGAGTGCCCAGTCATTTTGTGATGGATGACTGAAGTAATAATACATGACATGTCCAAAGCCCAAAACTCTGTTCTCACTGGTGCTGCCTTGCATGATCTTGAACAAAGACAAACCTTCTCTAACTCTCAGTTGCTACATTCAGAAAAGTCTTCAACATGATGCTAACTGTGCTGTTCATTCTTAGGTTTCCATTGTATCCAACCAAGGGAATACCAGATGTCAAGAACATAAGCCCAATGGGAAACTACCAGGGCAGGAATACCAAAGGTGGGCTGCTTAGTCTCAGAAAAGAGCAAGAATGGCTCCCAGTTCTCAGAAAAAAAAGATTACTTCTAAATTGATATTTTCTTTGGGAAAGTGTAGAGGGAAAGAAGTTTCTTAAGGAAACTTTCCTTTCCTTCCCTGCATCTTGTATGTGAATTTAACAGACATACCAGTTTATGAGCTATATTCTCTATCAGACTTTGTATTTTAAATTTATATATGGTTTATTTTTCAGAAACTTGTCTTTTGAATTGGAAAAAAAGAAATTTGAAAAAGATCCTTTGCCTGTCAGATATGTTTGACCAAAGCAGCACATTTTAGTGAAGGCATTGTTCCTTTGAAAGCACAGTATCTTACAGTTGTAGGTTGGCCTTAGCATCTACAAATCAATGGTAGTTCCAGAAGAGAGCATCAGAATCCCTGGGACAAGAATTACAGACAGTTGTAAGCCTATTGTGTGGGTGCTGGGAATTGAACCTGAATCCTCTGGAAGAGTAGCCAGCGCTCCTAACTGCTGAGAAAGCTCTCCTATAAATATGCAGCCCAGGATAGACTCAAACTCATGATCTTCCTACTTCTGACTCATCAGCATATGCTATGGTTTTTCACTACCACAACCATCTGTGTTTTCTAAATCCATCTGTTTTAGAGAATGTTTAAGTCATACAAATTAACTTTGTTAAAATGAAGGCTCTAGAAATGGGTATAAAGAGATGCTTTTATGGCTGGAGAGAGATGTTTCCAAAGGGGTCTTCAAATCCCACTTACAGATATAATTATCATCCTCAACTCAGTTCCAGTCCCCTAGAATACCATGGGGGGGAAATGAGTATACAAATCTAGTTCCTGCACACCGCTTTATAGTCAAAACAGTAACTTGGATATCCTTTCTCCCAGAACCGGGTGAAGCAAATGAGTTCACTTTGGGAGCAAAATTTAAAGGAGCACCATAAAACCTGGTAATCAAAATAGTATTTCAATATAACATTTTATGATCAAAAAGCAAAATTCATGAACAAGATATGAAATTTTTAATAAGGAAGGATCTGTATTATTGATTTTTTTCTTTTGCCTTAGGCTCCAATATGGTTCAGCTCAACACTTTACTTCCTTCTGTTCCAATAAAGACAGCATGCATCTGCACAATGGAATGTGCAAGGAGGCCAGTTTGTGCTTGCTACATCACTCTGAGCAAGAGAAGCACTGGAGAGTGAGCACCCAGGACCACAGCACTGAAATTCAACAGACAGCACTTCTCAGAATAGAGAGGGTTGGTTCCTGTCTTAGGCTCTGTTTCCTACTAGGCCCAGTAATTTATAAAGGCATTTATATAGCTTACAGTTCTGTAGGTCCAAGAGCATGGAAACAACATCTGTGTGAGGCTTCTAAAGTGAGGGCTACATGCTGCTCCATGAGGAAAAGATGCAAGGAAAGCACCCATGGGTTCTTACAGAAGAGCTGACATGGACAGAAAAGCAGCAACAGAAAACCAATTTACTTTTATTAACAGGCTAAGTAACTCATCCTTGAGGTGACTACATTAATCCCTTTGTGAGTGTAGAGCACCACAACCTAATTACCTCTTAACAATCCCAGTAACTCTCAACACTGCCATACTGGAGGCTAAGCCTCAGCATGACTGTTGGTGATGACAAATCATATTCAAACCATAACAGCTCCCAAAGGCCAATAAAAGGAGGCTCTCATTGGAGCATGAGTTGTCCTCTTGTCTCATACAATTATCACTCTGCACATAGAAATGGCAAAGCCCAGTATACGGTGTTCACATTTCTCCAAGAACTCACTCCACTTTGCATTGTAGAATCCCGTGGTGTAACAGTAAAATCCTCCACTTCTAAACATCCCTGTAGTAATAAAAGCTATTTTTAAAAAAGTATTGATCGGTGTCTACCATCCAAAGAGCAAATGCTGTGAGATGGAATGAAAGAAATGGTGCCGTGAGCTATTTACCTTTACTGAGCACTGCAAAAATAAATAGTCCCAGAGCAGGTTCTGTGTCCTGAGTTTTAGTTATTCCTTAGCTCTTATTAAGGGTCAGTGGGGGAGACACGCCATCAGGACTGTCAATCAGATGGGGTGATAACAGGTGATTCTGCATTTTCAACTAAGTTAGCAGGGAAAGAATAAATGAAAATTGGAGAATATTTCTAGAATTGAAATTAATCTGTTAAATAAACGATGAAAGGGAATCCTTCTTGAATGGAGTGCCTGTGTATCACACCACTGTGACCACGCTAGACACTTCAAGCCTTAAAATGATGTCAGAAAGGAAGGCAGGGCTGATATCAAGTATATAGGAAGTCACAATACTCTCCCCCAATTGCAGCCTCCATATCTATCCCGTGACACTGAAGGCTAAGTTTAGTAATAACATCTCACCATTATTTTTCTAATCTACTATGAAGCTAATAATAAAATCAAAGAACCTTTCAAGATAAAATATCAAGCTTTTTAGAACCTTTCAAGATAAAATATCAAGCTTTTTAGCAAGCAAGCAAGTCTAGGGGTGGAGATCCTGAAAACAAACCTGTAGGGGCTGTGCCGTTTTTATCTACACAAATATCTTCGCTGAATAGGACATGTACACAGAGTAGGCATTCAATAAAAAATTGTGTAACTAAAACTTATGCTAGTGTGGACCATTAAACGTTTATCAATGCTGAACAATAATCTGAAGGCAGCTTGTCAGGAGTCTCAAGCCTTGCAGGCCCCATGTTGCAAGCAATTACCCAACAGAAAACAGGAATGTGGGCTGAACTAACAATATAAAATCATTGCTTCTACCTCTGTAGGAGACAGAAAACTTAAGTAGTCAGTGCTATCCCTGATAAGAAAAGCCTCTGAGATTACTAATAAGAAACCAGTTTGGGGAGAAGGGCGAAAAGATAGATGACCTGCACTAATCAAAATCCTCCAAGGTCCGCAAAGAAATGCCTCGTAACGAAAGGTGAAATTGTAGACCAGTGAAGCAAAATACAGAGAGGCTATAATCCTTTTCCTTTCTGATAACCTCTTCACCATCCATAGACTGAAGTAAACAGACCTGGCGACTTTAAGGACAGACATCCAGAGACACAAGAAGCAACTATCCCAGGTAACGAAGCTCACATGACCAGCCTACTGACGTCATTCTGGAAACGGGCCCTAGGGCTCGGTGCCCACAAAAGTGGTAGCCAAATCCAAAGGTTTGCAAATGAGACTCTGATCAGAGAAGCTCCTGGAGGTGGTTGACCCAAAGGGCACTAACCCAACGAACCAATGGCCGTGGAGATAGGGCGAGCCGTTGGGGGCATTAGGCCAATGAGAGTGCGGCAGGGCTAGAGGGCTCCCCGGTCTCAGCGGCTGGAACTGACTGGTTTGTAGCTTAGCCCGGGCCCATGTTGAAGCTCCCCGGTTTCCAGGAGTGTGCAGCCGCGCTCGCGGGCGCGCTCCTCCTGTTGCTTCTCGTGCTGGTGGTCTGCCAGCTCCTGAGGCAGAGGCGACCGACGGGCTTCCCCCCGGGGCCGCCGCGGCTGCCATTCATTGGCAACATCTGCTCCCTGGCCATGTCGGCCGAGCTTCCCCACGTCTACATGAGGAGGCAGAGTCAGGTGTATGGCGAGGTAGGCCGCGCCACAGACCTTCCTTCCGCCAGAAGCCGCGGCCAGAGACCGCCGTGGGCCTGACGCCCGTCAAGGGAAGCCCGCTCCGAGGGCCGCGCCGCCAACCGGAAGCCACCTCAGCGCTGCCACACCAGAGGCGATTCGGGTTGAGTTTCCCTCGCACAGTGCTCTGTGTGGCCTGTGTCTGAGATGCCTGCTCCTAAGAGAAATTTCTCGGCCCTGTGGCCCCTGAGCTTGTGGGGAAAATGAAGAGACGTTGTGAGTTTCTAGGACAGAGTTAGTGGTTGGTTAGTATTGGAGGTTGACGTTTAAACTTTTTTTTTCTTTTAAAAATACGCTGAAACATTGGCCTTTAATTTTCTGAACCCTAAATTTGCCTCATCAAGGTACTTAGAATAGTGATAACCAAAGCAGTAAAATGCTACCCAAATATATTGGCTATTATATATGATTTTGGTTACTATATGTGATAGATAACTTTATTTAGTGGTATTAAGAGTTGACCATACAGACTGGCATGCTAGGTAAGTGCTCTACCACAGAGACACACACCAGTCCAATAGAAATTTACTATGCCTACAAATTTAAAATTATTTTTAGACCAATTATTTGAAATGGTTTCTCACTGAATAGGAAATTAAAATTTTTATACATAAATATTTGAGCTGGAAGGAATTCTTTATTTACTATGAATATTCATATAGGACAAGTGATACAGGTCTATTACAATAAGCTAAAATTAAAATATGTGTGTGGAAGACTGTCATCAAGGAATAGGTTAATTAGATTGACTTGCTTAGAATTTGGCATAAATGCCGGGCATTGGTGGCTCACGTCTTTAATCCCAGCACTTGAGAGGCAGAGGCAGGTGGATCTCTGTGAGTTTGACGCCAGCCTGGTCTACAGAGTGAGTTCCAGGACAGCCTCCAAAGCAATACAGAGAAATTCTGTCTCAAAAAACAAAAGCAACAACAACTAAAAGAATTTGGCATAATTTATTTTGTTTCTGGTACACTGAGGAAACTATTTATTTATTTATTTATTTATTACACATCAAATAAGGGTAACCTGTGCTGATAGCTGCTAAACTGCAAGGAGAAAAATTGAAAATGTATGCATTGCAGAGTAAACATTGTATTGTTAGATTTAATAACTACCAAACATTAACCCCTTTTAAACTATGGCTGCATTTGATCTTTATTCCAGCTACAGAACATCCCTGAAGATTTCCAGTTATCTTAGAAATAGTTCTCTATTCTAACTGTGTCAAAATTAGTATAAGTTGTTAAAATACTAACCATTTTTATACAGTAGGTGACTTACCTCCTGTACTTCAGAAAGGTTGTAGGAAGCAGTTTATAGGAGTTATTTTTCTGTCTCCCTTTTTAATTTGAGATGTGTAGTCAAATTAAAAATAAATCTGAACTTTCCTACTTTAATTCCTACTGAATTTAATCCTTTATATTGTTGAAAGGAAAACAGCAGTGACCAAGATTCAGATTTATTTTTAAGCAGTTTTATATAGAATTGCTGCAGCATAAATTGCCATTTCTTTGGAGAGTCACTCTTGATTGTTTTAGCTTCTGTTGTGATTAGATTCCTAAAGTAGATTTTGAGCAGCATGCCATAGCTAGCAAAGTTGATATAAGTGGATTTGTCAGACTCTTTCAGGCAATGCTTTTATGGGTAATAAAGAAAAGTATTTTGTATTACAGCAAACAAAACTGGCAGTTTATTAATTTATTTTGTGGAGAACTTTTATTGAGAGCTTATTCAAGGCACTGAGTGGGGTTCTTGGAGAATTTAAAAATGAAAAAAGAAGTTATTTTGACAGGTATTTATAATTTAGAAACCAAACAGAAGAAAATGCTTCAGGTTCAAACTAGTGTAAAATTAATGTCATGGAAGGTTTTATATGAGCTGTGATGGCTCAAAGAAAATAGAATAAAAATGCATGTATTTTTAAAAACTACATGGAATATGATCTCTAAAGACTTGATATGGTTTAGGTAGTATGGCAATCAAGGGAGGCATTCCAAATGAGGAAACAAACCAAGCAAAGGTTGAAAATGTGGCAGTTGCTTATCAGCACTAGCACGATGTATATTTGTTTGTTGTTAGTACTTAGCCAATTATGTTTTAATATGCTTAAATATGTTTCTGCCAAAATTCATTAAATCAGCATACATGCATCAATTGTCATCAAAAGCCATATACTGTCATGAGTGCTAATGATATAGTAGCATATCTCTGTCTCTAGATAGCATACATTCTATTTTGGGGCAGAGACAAAATAAATTTAAGTAAATTATATAATATATTAAATCTGTATGGGGCACAACAGAAGCTAAACTATGGTAATGGAAATGGACACTGCTGGAAAGTTGAAATTTAAGTTAGTCAGAGCAGCCGTCGTTAAAAGAACATCTTAAAAGGAGATGAAGAAGCAGGCTGTAAGAACATCTTAGGGAAAACACACCAGGAACAGAGAAAACACCAAGGACAAGAAGTGACATTCTGTGGTCTATCATAAGGGTGAAATGCAGGTGACTTGAACTAGAGTACAGATGTTGTAAAAGTCAGCTCTGCATTACTGAAACAAAAATATTTGAGATAATAAACTTACAAAAAGAAAAGATTTATTGAAGATTCTGTCTTGGATATTTAAGGCATTAAGTTGACATTACTTTTGTAACTGTGTATTATGGTGGGAGTGTGTGGCAAACAAGACTGCTTTTAGTATATCAGCCAAGAAGCAAAGAGAAGTGAAGAGGAGGGGTCAAGATGCCCTTTCAAGGGTATAACTTAAAAACCTCCCACCAGGTTCCTTAAAACTTCTACCCTTTCCCTGTAGCACTAAGCTAAAGACTGCATCTTTAACATATAAGCCATTAGGATACATTTAAGATCTGAAGTGATCTTAACTTCTGTTATAACTTCACAGTACAAACAGTATACATGCTGAGCAGTTGAATGTGTGATTTGGGAGGAAATTGAGTCAACATGGGTCCAGAACCTTTGTTAGTTACCTTTCTTTTTGCTCAAGCACCTCACAGTCTCTCGGTTTTTATTATTCGTGCTTCACCACTTCCTATAAATTAATGTCATTCTTGTGGAATTTTCACTGAATACATTTTTTGGGGAAAACTTTTCTTTGACAATACTAATATTGCTTTGGGAACTGAAAAGATCTCTCATCTGCTTATCTGTTAGCAATTCCCTTTGTACTAAAAAACTTCCCCATGTCCTAAAACTAATACCACTATGTACAAAATCTGTACTCTTTTCCCAACATTCTAAATGTATATACTTCCCTGTTCCAGGACCCACCCTTGTGCCAAAGGTGGGACTGATTGTATATCCTCTTGGTAATATTTATCAGTTTTGCTAACTCCCGAAGAACTTTTGTTATCAGCTAAGACCTCCTGTTTTCTTCTGAAGCAGAATGTATCACAATTAAACCTACCTTTGGTGTTTGCACCAGGATAAGGCGTATCTCAGTATTTTAGCTGTTAAGAAACCCTTGGGCAATTCCTGAGAGGACAGTGATAAGCAATCTTGGGACCTATTGATAAATAGGCTTTTCACTGGGTTAGGTTCGCTAAAATACACTTCAGGATGAGTGACATTGTAACTGAACCTAAGGTGACCCTATGGTGTTTTGGCTAGTTTTTATTGTTAACTTGAGGTAACTAAGAGTCACCTGGGAAAAGGGAACTCACTTGAAGAATTGTCTTAATCACTTTGTCCCAGGACCACAAAAGAAATTGTCTTGATGATTGATCCATTGGGATTACGCCAATAAGCAGAGATCCTCCACGGTTCCTGTCTCCAGATTCCTGTCCTGACTTCCATCATTAATGGACTATGATCTGGAAGTGTAAATTGAAATAAACCCTTTCCTCCCCTAAGTTTTTTTTTCTATCATGGTGTTTATCACAGCCAAAGAAATCAAAGTAACAACATGTGGCAAACAACTCCAGCAAGTTATATCCTGCTTTGCTTTTCCCTGGCTCTCTCTCTCTCTCTCTCTCTCTCTCTCTCTCTCTCTCTCTCTCTCTCTCTCTCTCTCTCTCTCTCTCTCTCTCTCTCTCTCTCTCTCCCTCCCTCCCTCCCTCCCTCCCTCCCTCCCTCCCTCCCTCTCTCCCTCCCTCCCTCTCCCCCTCCCTCCCCTTGGATTCCAAAGTTGTCTTTTGGACTTTTCAAATCCCTCCCCCACACCCACTTCAAGCTGGTATAATAATAGATGAATGGTGCTAGTTATAAATTTGTCTTGGAAATAAAATGAGATTCCTAAATAATAAATATTTTTAGATGGAATGAATCCTAATAGAGTATATAAATCAAATGTATTTTGTTTTTGCTTTGCCTAGTACCTTAAAGCTGTGTAATGGCAAATGTTAAAGTAGAATGCAGACTTCTTGTGTCCAGTACTCTTTCCATTATACCTTATAAGATGGTTCCAGACATGGAGTGGTCTAATTAATCATGCTGTCTAGACATTGTCAAGTAGCAAATTCTTATGTTTTTAGAGAAGTGGCAAATAATAGGAGTAATAGGCTTAAAATGTATGGATAATGTGATTGTTTCTCTATACATTTGGTGTTTGAATGTTGTTTTTCTTCTTAAAGATTTTCAGTTTAGATCTTGGAGGTATATCAACTGTGGTTCTAAATGGCTATGATGTAGTAAAAGAATGCCTTGTTCATCAAAGTGAAATTTTTGCAGATAGACCATGCTTTCCTTTGTTCATGAAGATGACAAAAATGGGAGGTATGTTTTTTTCAACCCTTTAGTGAACCTGTTGTAAATCACATTCCTCATTTTAAATACTTTTAGTATAGGCACATTGTTTTGTAATTTGTGAAACCTGGATTTGAGGAGCTATCAGACTTCATTCAGTAATGTTTTAGATCATTACATGCTAGTTTTATTACTATTCAATTCCAAGAAACATAAGTAATGCTTTAAAGAATTAGTACTTGATTAGTTTAGGAGTGTACAGACACACACCACACCACACACACACACACAAACACCATGAATCAGAAGTTTCCTTTTGATCACAGTCTCAACTACATGGTGACAGAAATTTTATCATGTACAAGCTTATCGAAACTAAAGCAGTCTTTCTTAACTACTCATCATTATACTGTATAAATGGAAAGCTGTAGAGTTTATACAAAGGACAGGCTTTCTGTAGGACTTAGTCATGACCAGATTTGGATGACTACATATTCTGCAAGGAAGAAAAGCTGAAAGTTGGCACAATCAAGGAGAAAGTAGCAATAGAAAGTCCAAAGTAGAATGTTGACACAAGATAGAACTGGTATCTGATTTTTTTAACAGTAATATTCTAAATTCTGTAATGACACCTCCATACTACCTTTCAAAAAATTTTTAGTGTCTTGCTTAAATAGGTTATATGGCAAGTAATAATAACATTAGCAAATTTTAAATTCATGTTTTTCTTTTTTTATTACATGAGCATTTCTACTATGAACATTTCAAGGCTGCCCTTGACTTTGACATAGTTACCTTGTTGGGCATCATATACCTTCAACAGAAGGAAATTCATATTATAACTTTGGGTGTGGGGTTATTTGTTTAATCCCAAGTTAAATTCTTCCATAAAATATACAATCATTTGTCTTTTATAAGTTATATATATGTATGAGGAGATCTGAGTAATAGACTTATGTAGACCTACTTCATCTGGGTTTGATTACATAATACTGGACAGTTTCTTGTGGTAGGAGAATGAGAATTACAGGTCTTTTCTGCCAGTCCTTTCATGAAGAATAGGTTTATCTAATGCTTTTGAGCAGCATCAACTAGGACCCAGTCATGTACTTAGGTAACTGGGGGCTAAAATCCCTGACTCTCCATCTTTTAATTTTTCCTTTGTTTTTTATTCCACACATTTTACAGAGAAATATGAATTACATACTGTTTTTAATACTGTTATTTTAGGCTTACTCAATTCCAGATATGGCCGAGGATGGATTGATCACAGAAGATTGGCTGTTAACAGTTTTCACTATTTCGGATGTGGCCAAAAATCTTTTGAATCTAAAATCTTAGAAGAAACTTGGTTTTTAATTGATGCTATTAAAACATACAAAGGTAAACCTTTTGACCTCAAGCAACTAATAACAAATGCTGTTTCAAACATCACTAATCTGATCCTTTTTGGAGGACGATTCACTTATGAAGACACTGATTTTCAGCATATGATTGAGTTATTTAGTGAGAATGTGGAACTAGCTGCCAGTGCTCCTGTCTTCCTGTATAATGCATTTCCATGGATTGGCATCTTACCTTTCGGAAAACATCAAAAGCTTTTCAGAAATGCAGATGTGGTCTATGATTTTCTTTCAAGACTTATTGAAAAAGCTGCAGTCAACAGAAAGCCCCATTTACCTCAGCATTTTGTTGATGCCTATTTAGATGAGATGGATCAAAGTAAAAATGATCCTTTATCTGTGTTCTCCAAAGAGAATCTAATTTTTTCAGTGGGTGAACTCATCATTGCTGGAACTGAAACTACAACCAATGTGCTACGCTGGGCAATTCTTTTCATGGCCCTTTATCCTAATATTCAAGGTGAGGATATTCTTGACCTCAGGGTCTCTCCTAACATATAGGGCTCATGTATGCTTTAGAGTGTTTGGCCATGTATAAAGCAGTTTTAGTAACTCCAACTGTGAGAGCAAAGAAGGGAACTATCTCATAATTAGAGTTTTCAAATCTAGTATTTTGATGCAAATTGAAGGGTGGGCAGCATATGCTGGCAGACTAGGTATGCTGATGATATTCCTCTAATCTCAGAATTCAGGAGGATGAGGCAGAAGACTCTCAAGCTCAAGGCCATCATAGCTTAAAACCAACCTGGATATATAGCATGGCACTATGGTAAAAGAAAGTAAAATGAATCTTAATTTACACATTTTATAAAGGACATCAAAGGATGAGTGTCAGGAAGCCACAAAGCTGGAATCTGAACTCTGATTTTTCTTAGTCAGGTCTAACGTTCATTATTTTCCTTGCTGACAATGATACTACTCTGATTCTAGGCTGACTACACATTTATTCGTAATCCTTTTCTTGATCTTACCCAGAGTGTTGGTTATTAATGCAAGTTATAGAGGGTATATAATTAATTCACGTAGCTACCAGACGATGAAAAATTCAAATCTAGAGATACTCATAGTCTGTTGGTTTATGATGGGTTATCATTAGTTGTACCCAAAAGAAAAATAAGTTTACATATAATTTTAAGAATTCCATAATAACTTTAACATATTTCTCTGACAGGACAAGTTCATAAAGAAATTGATTTAATTATGGGATATAATAGGAGGCCTTCTTGGGAAGACAAGTGTAAAATGCCTTATACTGAAGCAGTTTTACATGAAGTTTTAAGATTCTGTAATATAGTTCCACTGGGGATTTTCCATGCAACCTCTGAAGATGCAGTTGTACGTGGTTATTCTATTCCTAAGGGGACAACGGTCATTACAAATCTTTATTCTGTTCACTTTGATGAAAAGTACTGGAAAGACCCAGACATGTTCTATCCTGAGCGATTTTTGGACAGTAATGGACATTTTACTAGAAAGGAAGCTTTCATTCCTTTTTCTCTAGGTAAGAAAATACTCACATGTATATAATTTTAAGGTGTAACAATGACTCATTCATTATTCATACCATCTCAATCTGAAGTGACCTGTTCCAGAGTAGCTAATTCTGAATACTTAAACTGAATTCTTTTTGTTAGTATTTTTCTTTTTATTGAAAACAGATTTTTTTCCTCACTTAACATATTCTGATTACAGTTGTCTCTCCTTCTACTCTTCCCTGTTCCCTCCCACTCCCAATTTAGATCCGTTCCTTTTCTTGTCTCTCATTAGAAAACAAAAGGCTTCTATGGGATAAAAATGAGATATAACAAAGTAAAATATAATAAAAAACAAAAACTACCACATAAACAACAATGGAATTGGAAGAGCTCAAGAGAAGGCACAAGAATCAGAGACCCATTCATTCACACACTCAGGTATCCCATAAGAACACTAAACTGGATGCCATGATATGTATGCAGAGGATCTGGTGCAGACCTGTGCAGACCCTGTGCATACTCAGCCTCTTAGTTCATACGAGCTTTAATCATACTGGTTTAGAGGGCCTTGTTTTCTTGGTATCCTGCATCCATGCTCTTACATGTAACATTACTTCTTACAGGAGAGAATGGTTTCATTAAAGTGATGAGTACCTGTTTCTATTAAAAATATTCCTTGGTTATTAAATAAAACTGGAGTAGCTGCGGCTGGCTACTTCGGGAACTTTTAAGCTTATGAATGTGGGGGCTGTAATCAAACTTCTAGAACAAAAATTCAGTAACAAGTATGAGAGACTGAAACCCATATAAAGGAAAGGAAAAATATGAGAACTCCAGGTAAAGCTAGAATCTTGCCTCTAGTTTATCATGTCATCTCCAACTAGTAAATACAGCTTCTGCTATAAAATATAACATAAATTACAGAGCTTGTAAGATGGGCTACATCTTCATCACTAAGGAAAGTATTCAATAGGTCAGTTGAAATGGGCTTCCCTTGGATCTATAAGAACAAAATGTCACATCCCAAAGAACTTCTATAGCATGTCATAAATTCTATTGCATTGTGCAAGAGAAGTCAGAAATGGGAACAAAATCTTTAAAGTCCATGATCTGATATACGGAAATAAAGGAATGTGTTTCTGGATGAATTGCTAGTTTCTAATCTTTGAGATTTGAGAGACTCTTCTCATGATATGATGTCTTTTAACCTAAATTCCTGATTTCCTAAAAGACACTCAAATATTAGATATTTTAATATATGGTCTTTAAACTTGTTTCCTTTTCTGTTCAGGGAGAAGACACTGTCTTGGAGAACAGCTGGCTCGGATGGAAATGTTCTTGTTCTTTACAGCATTGCTTCAGCAATTTCATTTGCATTTTCCACATGAGCTAGTTCCAAACATAAAACCCAGGTTAGGCATGACATTGCAACCCCAGTCCTACCTCATCTGTGCAGAAAGACGCTGAAAGTACTGTTATTAGAGGATTACCTTGTTTGATCAATAATGATATTTGGGCCAAAGCCACAGTTTTATAAAGCCAAGTGAACATGGATACATTGTTTAAAGTAGTACTAAAACAATAACAAGCACTAGCTATGTTTTTCTAATTTCCACACTCTTGTAGAATATATTGGATGACACAATGGTGCAGGTGTTATGTAGATACAAAAAGGGCCATGGATGCACAAAACAGAATTATTCTTTAGTATAAGGTTTCTCTGATCTGACTCCATCTTGGGGAACTTAGCTTTTTACTTCCAAACTGACTCCTTTATGATCAAGTGTTGTGATTAGCAAACTGTGATATCAATCCGGGATGAAAGAAGAAATAAAACCCACATAAATGAATTTTGACTACAGAAGTATTTTAGATATGATGGTAGGCAGTGTAAAAGCTTTATATTTAATATAAACCCAGTGCTTTCAGATATTCCTCTCTACTGCGTATTTATAAGAACTGTGTCATTCTTCCTATAAACAACAGTTTCTGTGATCACTGAGCATCCATCCTTAAAGCAGCATGTGGTGATATCTTGCACAAATAAAGCCTGTCTGGGGGTCAGAGAATGGAGCTTGCCACTAGCTAACCATAGAGGTTGGTGGTCTGTACAGACAGGAAGTGACATGGCTGAGCAGTAACAGTATATAAGCAAGGACAAACAGGAAGTCACTCTCTTCTCTATGGAGATGCTTAGGAGGTAAGGTGTACTGTGGCTTGCTCCTTCTCTCTGATCTCTAAGAACTTCCCTCTATGTCTGACTCTGGCCTTTTATTATCTAGATCAATTCTGGACTCCTTTTACAGTAGCAGTTCAGTATATAGGAAATACAGTGTGAAGTTGACTATTCTTTCTTTGTAGGCACAGTCATTACACTTTTCCTGGTACCACTTATTTCTAAAACCAGTCACAGAGCTCAAAATTTCAAACATCTTATCTTATTGAAGTCTTGAGGTTAAGCAGGCTGTCCCAACAATGTTGTCAGCATGGGGATCTGAACTCAGGTCCTCTCCAAGAGCAGTACAAGCTATAGCTGCTTTCAGATTTGCTCAAATAATAATGAACCATTCTTAAGGCATAATGGGAATCTCACAAGAAATCCCATTTATAGTAAAGGATATGACTTAAACTCTGTGTAATCCTTGGTTTTATCTTATCAGATGGTAATTCTTCCCAAAGCACCTCTAGTGCCAACCTATAATCCTATTTGTAATTTAAAAAACAAAGATATTTTGTATACTTTGATCCGTAACATGAAAGCAACCAAATTATATATATATACATATATATATATATGTGTGTGTGTGTGTGTGTGTTTGAATGTATGTATGTATGTATGTCTTCTGCTAAGACAGACACTCAAGCATGAATCTTCCTTGGGAAGCCCACTCACACTTAGCTATCTTATCCTTTCCCTAAGTTGGGTATCTCTCTTTCAATTAACCCCAATGCTTAAATCTATTTTTAAAAATCTCTTTTAAATAAACACCAACTCTGCTTCATACTGGCTCATCTGAAATTCTTTTCTGCAGCCAAGTCAAGAATCTGGCTTTACTTGAGTGGAGATATCTCATGGAGGAGGATACTTCTCAGACTGCTGATGGCTGTTCTGGGTTGTCTCTTACTACCATAAAGACCAAAAAACTGCAGGAGACAATATTTTCAGAGATGAACAACTGTTACTTTAGCATAACCAGATACAATATGTAAAACTCAAGAGTAACATTCCTCCTAGAGCAGCTCTGTGATCAGACAGTGCATTATTTAATCTCTCATAGTAACACCTTGTTGAGTTTCCAACATGTTTTAACCTGTGGTATTATGGCATATGTTTCATCACAACAACTGAATTCCTTTTGCAAACAGCATAGGTGATACTATTCTTGTTAAAATAAACACATTTTCATATTATGATGATTTCATCTTCAGGCAGCATGTAACATACATTTCTGATCATGCTTTAAAAAATTATTTAAGACATGGTCTCACACTATAGCCCAGGTTGGCCTCAAGTGTTCTTTTTCAACATTGTGTGTGTGTGTGTGTGTGTGTGTGTGTGTAAACACACACACATACAGAGATCAGAAGAAAAGTTGTGGAGTTCTCATCTTCCACTGTGTGTAAAAACAAACAGGTGAAGGAAACCATTCAAACCGTTCAAGACTTGAAAACTGAAATAGAGACAATAAAGAAAACACAAACTGAGGGGATACTGGAAATAGAAAATCTGTGTAAATGATTAGGAACTACAGATGCAAGCATAATTAACAGAATACAAGAGATGGAAGATAATCTCAGGTGTTGAAGATACACTAGAGTGGTACATTTACACAATGGAGTACTATTCAGTGGGAAAAAATGGAATCTTGAAATTTGCAGGCAAATGGATGACACTAGAAGAAACCATACTGAGTGAGGTAATCTAGTCACAAAAAGAGAAACATGGTATGTACTCACTCATTTATGGATTTTTAGACATGAATCAGGGGAGTACCAGCATAAAATCCCACTGCCAGAGAGTCTAGGAAACAGAACCTTCATCCAGCGATGATGAAGCAGAGGTAGATACCCACAGACAAATACTGAACTGAACTCCTGGAATCCAGTGTCAGAAAGGGAGAACTGATGGGCAAAGCGATTAAGACTGGGCTGATTTAACCCACAGAAACAGTTGACCTGAAAAAGGGGGAGCTCTTGACTCTAGATTGATGGCTGTGTGGAAAGCATGGGACTGACTCAGACCCCCTGAATGTGGGTGTCAATGAGGAGGCCTAGGTAATCTATGGGGCCTTGGGTATTATTTATCCCTGGTGTACAAATAGACTTTGAGTGCCCATGCCACAATATGGGAGGCTCTCTCAGCTGGGATTCTTGGGGGTGGGCCTAGGCCTTGCCCTGGATGAAATGACAGTTACTGGAGATCCACCATGGAGGGCCTCACCCTCCCTGAGGATCGGAGTGGAGATTGAGTGGGGGTCCGGGAACCTGGTGGAGAGAGTGGGGGAGAAGGGGAGGGAGAGGGAGCTGGGATTGACATGTGAAACAAGATTGTTTCTAACCTAAATAAAAAAAAATTAAAAAAAGAATGAGATAAAAATGAAAATATTAAAGAATAATGCACCAAAAAAAAAGAATGAACACTGTGAGGGCTAATATTAATTGTCAAATTGACCAGACTTAGACTCATCTAAGGAAAAAAAAGTTCAACAAATCCTTAACACAAAATATCCAGGAAATATGGGACACTGTTAAAAGACCAAACCTAAGAATAATAGGTATAGAAGGCAAAGAAACCCAGCTCAAAGGTACAGAAAACATTCAACAAAATCATAGAAGAAAACTTTCCTAACCTAAAGAAGGACATGTCTGTGAAAGTACAAGAAACTTCCAGAACACCAAATAGACTAGATCAAACATAAAGTCCCCTCACCACATAATAATCAAAACACCAAACATACAGAATAAAGAAAGAATATTAACAGATGAAAAGGAAAAAGGCCAATTAACATATAAAGGCAGGCCAATCAGAATTACAGCTGACTTCTCAATGGAAACTGAAAGTCAGAAGGTCCTGGATAGAGACCACGGATGCCAGCCCAGACTACTATACCCAGCAAATCTTTCGATCACTATAGATGGAGAAAACAAGATATTGCATGACAAAACCAGATTTAAACAAAACATATCCATAAATCTAGCCCTACAGAAAGTACTGGAAGGAAAACTCCAACCCAAGGAAGTTAGCTATACTCACAAAAACATAGGCAATAGATAATCCCACATTACCACAAGCCAAAAGTGGGTGGGGGGTCAGGCAGGAAACACAATACCACTACCACATTCAAAACTAACAAGAATCAACGATCAATGGTCATTAATATCCCTTAATATCAATGGTCTTAAAGTGCCTTTAAAAATCACAGGCTAACAGAATGGATATGAATCCATCCTTCTGTTGCATACAAGAAACACACCTCAATTTCAAAGACAGAATTTACCTCAGAATAAAGGGTTGGGAAAAGATTTTCCAATCAAATGGGCCTAAGAAACAAGCTGGTATAGCTATCCTAATATCTACCAAATTAGACTTCAAACTAAAATTAATCAAAAGAGATGAAGAAAGTCATTTCATATTAGGCACAGGAGAAACCCATCAAGATGAAGTCTCAATTCTGAACATCTAAGCCCCAAATACAAAGGTGCTCACATTTGTAAAAGAAACATTAGTAAAGTTCAAATCACATATGAAACCTCACACACTTATAGTGGGAGACTTCCATACCCCACTCTCACCACTAGACAGGACCACCAGACAGAAACTTAACAAAGAAACAAAGGAAACTAATATTTAACAGACATCTATAGAACATTCCATCCAAACACAAAAGAATATACCTTCTTCTCAGCGCCACATGGAACCTTCTCTAAAATTAACCACAAACTTGGCAACATAGCAAACCTCAACAGATACAAAAAACTTGGAATAACCCCCTTTATCTTATTGGACCACCATGCTTTAATGTTAGAATTCAACAACAACACAAATTGCAGAAAACCTACAAACTCATGGAAATTGAATGATGTACAATTGTACCATTCCTGGGTCAAGGAATAAATAAAAAAAGAAATTAAAGACTTCCTAAAATTCATGAGAATGAAGACACAACATACCCAAACTTATGGGAGACTTTGAAAGAAGAAAGTTCATAGCACTAAGTGCCCACTTGAAGAAAGTGGAGAATAGTCACACAAGAGAATTAACAGCACAACTGAAAGCTCTAGAACAAAAAGAAGCAAACTCATCCCAGAGGGCCAGGAAATAATCAAATTGTGAGCTGAAATCAATAAAGTAGAAACAAAACAGTACAAAGAATCAATAAAACAAAGAGTTGGTTCTTTGAGAAAATCAACAAGATAGACACACCTTTATCCAAACTAACCAAAAGGCAGAGAAAAAACATGAAAATTAACAAAATCAGAAATGAAAAGGGGGACATGACAACAGAAACAGGAAATCCAGAGACTCATCAGGTCATACTTTGAAAACCTGTACTCCCCAAAATTAAAAATCTAAAGGAAATGAACAATTTTCTGGATAGATGTCACTTACCAAAATTAAATCAAGAACAAATGAGCAATTTAAATAGACCTAAAACCCCTAATTAAATAGAAGCAGTCATCAAAAGTCTCCTAACCGGCTCCCCTCAAAAAAGAAGCCCAGGGCCATTTGGTTTCAGTGCAGAAATTAAAAGAAGAGCTAATATGAATACTCATTGTTCCACAGCAGAATGATCATTGCCAAACTCTTTACAAGATTACAATTACCTTGGTACCCAAACCACACAAAAGAACAACTAAGAAAGAGAACTACAGACCAATCTCCCTCATGAACATTGATGCAAAAACTTGATAAAATACTGGCAAATCGTATCCAAGAGCACATCAGAAAAATCATCCACCATGATCAAGTAAAGTAGGCTTCCTCCCAGAGATGCAGGGATGGTTCAACATACAAAAATCTGTCAATGTAATCCACCATATAAGCAAACTGAAAGAAAAAAAGAAACACATGATCATCTCACTAGATGCTGAAAATGCCTTTGACAAAATCCAACACCCCTTCATGATAAAGGTCTTCGAGAGACCACGGATAACAGGAACATACCTGAACATAATAAAGGCAATATACAGCAAGCCAACAGCCAACATGAAACTAAATGGAGAGAAACTCAATGCAATTCCTCTAAAATCAGGAACAAGACAAGGCTGTGCACTTTCTCCATATCTCTTCACTATAGTACTCGAAGTTCTAGCTAGAGCAATATGACAACAAAAGGAGATCAAAGGGATACAAATTGGAAAGGAAGAAGTCAAACTTTCACTATTTGCAGATAATATGATAGTTTACTTAAGTTGACCAGAAAAATTCTACCAGGGAACACCTATAACTGATAAACACCTTCAGCAAAGTGGATGGATACAAGATTAACTCAAATCAGTAGCCCACAGGACATCAGTTCAAACATGATCATAGCAGCATTATTTGAAATAGCCATAACCTGGAAGCAACCTAGAAGCCCTTCAACCTCAGAATGGATAAAGAAAATGTGGTACATTTACACAATGGAGTACTACTCAGCAGAAAAAAAAAAAACAATGAAATCTTGAAATTTGCAGGCAAATGGATGGAACTAGAAGAAACCATCCTGATTGAGATAACCCAGAGACAGAAAGAAAAATATGGTATGTACTCACTCATAAGTAGATATTAGACATAGAACAAAGAATAACTAGCCTACAATCCACAACCCCAGAGAAGGTAGCAAATAAGGAGGAACCTAAGAGAGACACACATGGAAGCTTGGAGAAGGGGAAAGGGAGTAGATCTCCTGAACTAATTAAGACCATGGGGTGGAGGCTGGGAAGTAGGAGAAAGAGGAGGGAAGAAGAGGACAGGGGTGCGGTGGGGAGGAGAATATGAAGGATCAGGAAGGTCAAGTTTGGGGAAGAACAGAGAGAAGGAAAGCATGAAAAGAGATACCTTCATAGATGGAGCCATTATGGGTTTAACAAGAAATCTGGCACTAGGGAAATGTCCAGGGATCCACAAGGATGACCCCACATAAGACTCTAAGCAATAGTGCAGAGGATATCTTAAACTCCCTTCCCCTATAATGAGATTGATGACTATCTTAAATGCCATCATAGATCCTTCACCCAGTAGGTGATGGAAGCAGAATCAGAGATTCACAACTAAGCACTGAGCCGTACTCCTTGAATCCAGTTGTAGAGAGGGAGGAGTGATGAACAAAGGGGTCAAGACCATGCTGGGGAAACCCACAGAAACAGCTGACCTGAGTAAGTGGGAACTCACAGACCCCAGTCTGACATCTGGTGAACCAGCATAAGACCAAACCAGGCCCCCTGAACATGGGTATCAGTTGGGGGGCCTGGAAAGTCTGTGGGGCCTCTGGCAGTGGAACCAGATGCTGAATGGTTTGGTCTACCCCCAGGTGTCTGGGGATTTGGTGGGCAGGATACATCTATGTGCCCTGTTCAAGGGCTTCCATTGAGATGGCCCTCCCACAGTTTTTAACAATTCAAAATAGTTATAAAAATTCATTATTTCATTCAAATCAAAACCCTTTTGTTCCTATTTCCTTAAGAACAGAATTTAAGGGCCATACCATGCTTTAGAAGAGACTTCATTAACCACCATCTCTCATTAACCAGTCCCTCTTCTTCCACTCTGCTCCAATCAGCATAAAACTCTTGACTTGTCCAATATGGAGATACTTTCTCCTGTTCTGGCCTCTATCTGTGTTGTTTCTCTCTCACTGCAATCATATCAAAATTAACTAAATAATTCACTGTTCAGGGTAGAACATTCCCCTTCCCTGAGAAGCTCTCCACCCCTGTACTTCCTGTCACTGCTAACCCACAAATCCTCATGATCTGTTCATAGTGGCCCAGCAACTATAATGAAGGAACCAGTAAGCTCTACCCGTCTCTTTTGTAAAGTTTGTTTCTATGAGTTGTAATCTAGAGGGAGAATTTTTGATTACTTAAGTAATGCCAGGCTCTTGGTAAAAATAAACAGACAAGGTCAACAGCAAAAGGAAAGTAGGTAGGAATAGCCGGAAACAGCTTTAAAATAATCAAATAACAACCACAAAAACTAGATTTCTATACAGAAAAAAATTGTGTCAGAAAGCACACAGATATTTCAGTGATATATTTATAATACCAATGACTTACAATAGCAGATTTGTGATAAAATTCTAATAAAAATTAATCTGATTTTATAGCAAGCAAAATAAGAACTATGAGCTGGAGATATACTGTAATAGGAGACTGCTCACATATCAGGCTAGTGGCCCTGGGTTCAATTCTCAACATACTCCCACAGAAAGATTTATAAGGCTAATGACAATTCCTCAAGTAGGACTCCATCTAACAGTAGCATATATATTTTAATATAGTATCACATTAATGACTTTCAATTATAATATTTAAAATTTTGGCATGGAAAATCTCAATAATTTCAATTTCTTTGGGATGTTTTGATTTATGTTTACTAAGCAAGGGTTAAATAATTTAAGAATTATTTTCAAATGAGTTCCTAGTAATATTTTTAGTAGAAGAAAAATTGCTTCTTCAAGACAGAATTTAAAACTAAATTACATCAATAAAAAATTTAAGTAACATAGTAGTTTAGAAACTTGTTTCTCATAATACATGCCTGTATGTGCATGAACTTATACACACATGTGTACTATTTTCTGTTTGAAAAAGAAAGTAAGAGAATAAATATATTTGCATAGGATGTAAAACACATTTTAGAGAAATATACACACAGGATGTATATAAATACAAATTCAATGTATTATCAGTTTTATTACTTAGTAAGATATGGTGGGACCAGTTTACAAATGATGTGGTTGTGGTAGCAAAAGTGACGGGAAGGAACTCAGCACTCAACATGTTTAATAAATAAAGTGTAGTGATTCACTGAATATGATACCTGCAGGTTCAAAAACCCCAGCACTTCAATAGATCTTTAACTGTGGCCTTGTAGACAACTCAAATATCTTAGGTAGGTAAGAAACTCCATTATCACACACTATAGGAACTATTGTGGAAACTGACAGTTAATTCTGCATAAAGTTGAATGACTCCAAAATAATTGTACAGTATTCAAGGATAATGAGAAATCAATTTACCATCTTGGTATAATTTTGGTTGCTTTGTACAACTTCAATAATAGTTCACAACTACGGCACATAGCCACACTCTAATGAGGTCATGTAAACATTACAAATGTGGTCTGTTTTCTTAGTAAGATATTTATTTATATGCATTTGTATGAATCATTTATTGAAATATTTATAGCTTTTGTGTAAAAATTAAGTAGGTATTCCCATCATGTACTTTACCTAAGAATTCAGTCTTTCTGTGGGGTTCTGGTATTACTACATAGTGATGAGTCATCTCTGTCATATATTCTTGGAGCAGAAAGAAACCAACAAAAAACCAAAAACGTCAGTTTTACTATAACCAGACACAAGGATACAAGACATAGATGTAGAGATACCAAATTTTTAAAGCAATATCTTAATGGGATTGGTTTCATTTGATTTTGCATTAAGGCCAATGATAGCTATCTCCTTTTTCTTGGCTTTAATTAAAATGGTGCTTATTTTATAAAAGGTAACATCAATATTAGGACAATATTTTTTCAGCCAAATCTTTGCCATGTTTAGCATAATTAAATATTTAAAATTACTTATCCTGAGAAAAAGTAAAAAGAACAGTTTTGACTAAAGAATAAAGTTCCTTCATTGTTAAACACCTTTAAAATTCAACCATGGAACAAAATCAGTAAGACTAGAATCAGACTTCTGATGTCCACAGCAAACCTGAATACTTTCGGCAGAAATAATACACACAAGTAGATTATATATTATACACAACAATATAAAGCATCAGAAATTGATGCACCTGGATTTTGTTAAGTATAACAAAGGTCCTCAGTCCTTCGTGGACAAAGCTGGGAGAACCACATTGAACAGCGTACTGCCATGAGCAGAAATCACTCAAGAAAGGCCACAATGAATTCCTTTTTGTATTAGGCAGAGGTTTGTTTTCCCATCCCCACACCAAAATAAAGACATAAAAGATATACTTGGAAATACAAAATGAATCCTGTTTTCATAAAAGTATTATGACCACTTCAAAAGCTGAAATTTCTAGAATTTTCAGTTTTAGCCCTCCCTCACCATGAAAAATAAAGAGCTCACTACCCAGCAAAGCAGCATTATGACAAAGGATTTTACACACCAGTGAAGGCTTTGAGGAAGGGCTTTGCAACATGGGTCAAGTAAGATTCATTCCCTAGTTTGTGATGAAAGTGCTTATGTGAGAACAGCCAGGGTAGCAAGGGTTCTCTCACAGTATTAAAGCCTGTCCACATGGGATTGGTCAGTTAAGAATCAGCACAGTGAGCATTAGGTAATGACTGCTAACCCTGGGCATTGGACCCCAGGCTTCTTCAGCATGAGTTTTCTTCTATTCAAACATTTGCTCTTCCTCTTCATCTGCTTCTTCAATAACCTGAATCTCATCTGCTTGAGGTAAGGAGGTATTCTCCACCTGCAGTTTGTTCCCCTCAGCTTTACATTTTTCTTCTTCTTCTATGATTTCCTTCCATATCTTGTGGTTTTCAGTGAGGTGGTGCATTAGTTGACAAAATATCCGCCGCCTGCCTTTCCTTCTTTGTGGTTCTGTGAAATTTAAAACAAACATTTATATCAAAGCAGATACAATTCCATGGCTCATTCAATAAATGCCTCAGTGCCCACTCTAATCTAAGTAGTTGTACAAGCTCTAAGGTTATAAATGTTAACGGTAAGAAAACAAATTATCCACACTATGGAGATCACATCCTAACAGAATTATATAAACAAACAAAGTTATGAGAGATAGGGGTTGTTCTGGATAGAAACAAAACAGAGAAGAGGTACAGAGAATACTGAATTGGGAGAGAAGATAGTGCTGAAATCTAAGATGAAAATCCTAACAATCCAAAGTTAAATTGAAGTTTGTAATGTTTCAATGTAGTAAATTAAATGTAATTACCAGTGTTCTGGCGAATATTATTTATTTTGAAAAGCCAGTCAACCAACCCCAAGTTGGCATGAGATTATTCTCTGCCATGCTAGTCATAAACACAAAGCATTTGTGTCGGAAGTGGGTAGAAGGTACTTATATAAGTGAAATCCACTGAAGAGCACTGGCTGGAGGACCGCATCTACAGAGAAGTACCTCCACTAAATAGAAACACAACTCTTATTGTGTTACAGTTCTGATTTACTTAGAAAAAAGTGTCTAGCTAGGTGTGAATTAAATGCTACTTTAAAATAATCAGGAAGTGACATTTAATTAAGTTTCAAAGACAGATTTTTAAAAGTTTTCTCACTTATTGTCTTATTCAGAAAAATATGTTTCTATATAACTCATTCTTAGTATTAAAACCTTGGTTCTCTCAGAGTCAGGGGCTCTTTTCTCCAACTGTTTTGATTTGCTTTCAAGTTGTGCTTTCCAGCTGTTATGATGTTTAAAGAGGGTGAGATGAGTCTAACTGCTAGGACTCACTTCAGAGATGTTGAGATGAGCATCTACTGGAGGACAGCATCTTGAGAAATGCTACTTTCATTAACTAAGAGTCCCCATTGTGCTGTGGAAGTAACACAGTAGCAGCACACAGCAGTTATCCAAAACCTGACTATTGAATCTGACCACTCTGACAGAGTTAACATATCTGTACCTGTACCTAAGATGCAAAATCTAAATCCAATTTAAGGAATATTTGTAGTTAATAGCATTAAACAAAACAAAGTTTCCTTCTATTCTTACTGGGATTTAGACTGTCTTCTGTTTCTTCATCATCTGAATCTAATTCTTCACCATCATCATCATCACCACTTTCTGTATCATCATCCTCTTCTGCTTGTATCCACTGACCAGGCAGCAAGCCAGCAGCATCATAGGAGTTGCACAGGGGGCCCACAATGTGGGTGATAAAAGATTCTTGGAGTTTTGCTAGTTGAGGAGAAGAACGATCCATGAAGGGACTAATGGGTAGACCCAGGGTTGCTTCTTCATCTCCCTGAGCAATTAAAAAAGAAAAATGCATTTAACTACTAAAAATCCAACAACATTAAGGTTTACTATTAAATTTATCTTGGGATTTTTTAATTTTCTTCCTTTTTGGTGTTTGGAGAAAGAGTCTCTCTCTATACAAAATCACTGTGTAGACCAGGATGGCCTTGATTGAACTAACAGAGATCTGCCTGCCTTTCCCTTCTGAGTGCTGGGATTAAAGGTGTGCAACACCACACTCAGAATCTTGAGGTATTAAAAACACAATCTAAATCATTATTGTTAGGATGGAGTGTGGCCTGACAGGCACATGTTCACTTGGTGTTCTTGAGACCTGCATCAACTACCAGAACAGGAAAAAAAATTTACTCTGTCTTTTCTCCATTTGAGAAATCTTAAACAAATCTGTGTTCTCTTATTGTGCTTACATCAACTAGTACAGCTGATAATCAGTTAACAGAGAAGCTATATATATTTTAAAATAGAGACTAATAATTTTACCATTAACCTGCAACATTCTGTAATATCAACATTAATAGTTTATAATTAATACACTGAAGCTTTTGAATAAAAAAGACTATGTTTACTTAGTTTATGATTATAATGTAATTTGCATATTTCTATTCCCATTCTCAATAACAGGTCACACAGTATGGCACAGATTATGCAAATGGGTAAGAATATTTTAAAGCCAAGATTTTAAAAGACATAAAAAATATAACATGTTTATAATTCAAGTCTTTGAAATCCACTCAGTAACTACTCTGAACTCCCATCTATCCTTTATTTTCGGTCAGGTCTTTTGTTCAATAGATGTTTCTAATGCAAAGGTAGTCTTTCTATACTAGGCTTGAAAATGTCTCTAGATGATTAAATTTGTTCTGAGAAGACCATAAAATCACTTAAAAACTACTTCACTTGGTCCTTCCCCAACCCCCACCAGAAGCCATCAACTGTGAAGAGTTACTCTCTTCAATAGCTTCCTGTCCAAACTGTTTCTTTTTTTGGGGGTGGGGGTTGTCACAGAAGCCTTCAGTGTCTTTCATTCTCAGTTATGAGTGCAGTCATCAATTTTCTGGGCACTGGGGGTTTAACCATCTCCAATGAGTATGCAGACAACACAAATTGGACTTGGTGGGTTTTTTTTTGTTTGTTTTGTTTGGGGGAGGCACAAGGTGGGACGGTGGGCTTGGGAGGAATGGGAAATGAGTATGATCAGGATGCACTACACAAAATTCCCAAATAATTAATAAAAAATTATGTTGAGGGGGAAAAACTACTTCATTTGGAAATCAACTGTTTTAAGTTACAGATTCTCAGTTTAAAAGTAACCTTGGAAACCAGAGTCTATCCTTATCTATTCAGTCAAGAGTACAATCAACTTATTCCAGACAGGAAGTTAATCTATATATTTTTGTTTGCTACTTTAAATGTTAGCAGTAGTGGCTAGAGAGATGGCTCAGTTGTTAAAAGCACTGGCTGCTCTTCCAAGGGACCTGAGTTCAAATCTCAACATTTACATGGTAGCTCACAACCATCTATAACTCCACTTCCAATGGATCTAAAGCCCTCTCTGGCCTTTACAAGGTACCAGGCACACACATTGTGCAGTGTACACAGACATATATGCAGGCAAAACATCCATACACTTAAAATAAAATAAAAAAATATTAGCAGCAAAGGTAGAGTTGAGAAACCACTAAGAGCCAGGGTACATGTGATGTTTTATCCCTTTCAGGGCAACTGAAGCCCCCAAAGTTGCTTTCTTTATAATGCAGCTCTTCAAAATCCCACCAATCTCATGTTCCATCTTACCTGCTCATAAAATTCATTCACAATGCCTTCTGTCCATCTCAAATGTAGATCCCGAGCTTTTGCTGGGCCATTTATATCTGCTAGTTTGATGCACACCTGGCAGACTAAGAGGCGATCGTTTTCACTGGTCCATTCTATACCATTACTATTTACATCATTGGCCTATTTTGGACAAACAGAATTGTTTTAGGCTATGAGTCACAACGAGCTTCTAATATTTGTTTGTTCTCACCAATATGTTAAAAGTGTTTCCTGTCCAAAGGACAGGGAGAAATTTCAGTAAACACTTCCAAATCTGAAACATGGACCTATGTGGTAAAATGTCCTGCTGAAGTAGTGATAAGATTTTGTTTCAAAAGAGGCATAGCTTTTTTATTTAAAGCAGCTAGCTTTAGTTTCATTACTTGCAATTATCACAGAGAATAATAATGTATATGTATATTTAATACATATTAAATATATATACAAGTGAATTTATAAATCATAAGAATTGTTAACTACTTCTACCTTGAAGGCCACTTAAAAGAGATAAGGAAAAATCAGTTCTAGCTCTGACAGGCAGATATAGTTCAAAGACATGTGTCTTAGAAACTCAACTCTATGATCCAAATTTTAACTCACAAGATTATTAATTCAGCATTTATAACCTATTCAAATCCACTTCTTTCTCTATAAAGAAGTGATAGTAATCTTGTCAAATATTGCCATACGGATTAATAAACACAGTGCCTGCTTGATAATGAAGGCTATGTAAATATTAATTAGCATTATTTAAGTAAGTAAAATTATCATTATTAGATAGGCAAATTTAGCATGCTTTTTATTTCCTCTTAGCAGGTTTCTGCTAGCTAACAAAGAGGCAGGGCATAACTCTTTCAAGAAAGTAAAGCAATGGCTCTCAACTCTTTTCTGCTCCATGACTCACCTTCATTTTATCACTGTTAGAGCAGTTTTACGATTCTACAAGCCACAGTAAATATGAATTCTCTGAGGGGAGAGGCTGTGACCTGATCTTTCCCAATCCACAGCACAGTGACTATACACACATGGTAGTTTTGGAACGAGGAAATAATTGTCAAACAGAAGAGAAGAGACACTGCTCTTCTGCCAAATCAGGAGTAGAAAATTACTAATACAAAGAAGGCTTCTTAGAAACACACTTTAATTTCATAAAATGACTCACTTGGCACTGAGTAACTCAAACTTTGTTATAAAAACTTTGGATATAATTGATTGGTTTGTTAATATTTAAAAGAAAGTCACCATAAAATTCAATTATTTGTCAAAAGAAAGCATAGCAAGCAACAGTATCTTAAGACATATTGCCACAATAATAAAAATGTTTATTTTAAATAGCATGAAATATTATATAATATATTATTTACTTTTACTTGATATGTAATATAATTCTAACTTAACATCAAAAACCATCTTTCATCCTTAACAGTAAAAATAACAATTTCCCTTTTAAAATTAGGCACTACTTTACATAACAAACCTTGGCATTGAATTCAGCAAGGAAATCAAAATGTTTTTTGAGATCTGTGGCAAGGATTGCTTCTATGACTAAAAAACGAAAGCGCTTGAATTCCACATGATCAAGGTTAAGCAGGAAGTTGTATTCTGGGCGAGAAAGATACAGATTCCAAGCTGATGCGGCATGATGGTTTTCTAGAACAGATCTGTCATTGTATAAAACTGCCTAAAAGGAATAAAGAAAAATGAGACAAGCATCTTACATACAGGTGCTTTAATAACTCAGTGTCGGAAACAGGTCAAAAGAGTGAGCACCTACCACAACTGAGGCATGGTGCCAGGATTTTAATATGTATTATGAAGGTTGTAATGTTTTACAAATGAGTAGACTGAAGTACAAAGAGGCTAAGGACACCTTTCCTTCTGATATGCATATCTAAAATAAAAGATTTGTCTTCAAATACTCTGCAATACCATGCTGCCTCCCAAGGGATGGAAACGTTTTCGAAATAAACATTCAATTTGAAAAGCTTCTGATAATAAATCCATTAGGATATAGAACAGGCTTAGCGTACAGTTCTGTTCGGTAGTCAACACAGAGTTAACTAAAGAGGAAGAAGTGATGTCCAGGGTAAGCCAGAGACCCTTGTGTCTGAGTAAGTAGTCTATATTCCCTTAGTGGCACAGTGCCTGAACAGTCAGAGATAAGCATACCATAGGTAAGACCACAAATATACTGGTTTCAACAATATGAGCTCAATTTTTCATATCAGTAACAGATTTTATACATACTCTCCATACTAGAAACTTACAATACACAGGGGAACTAGGAACAGGCTGAGGAAAGACCACATCACCTGTTGATATGAGAATGAATTGTGCTGCAAAGAGCTGAGTCTCTGAGGAGAAACTCTGGGGATGTGAATGAGGTGGAGGGTATCCTGTTCCCTAGCTGAGTACCACCTACTACACTTCTACATTGAGTACTGTTTAATCTGAGTGCTAACACCCATACTAGTAACTCATTATCTCCAGGCAGCTTCCTCCTATATCTTAAGAGGTAAGTCTTCTGCCTGGAGTAAATGTAGGACTTGGGTCACTGGGCATGCCCTTGGAAAGTACTGTTGGACGCCAGGCTCTTCCTGTCTTTTCCACATGCTGATTGCCCTGATACAAGAGTTTTGCTTCACTACAGACTCCTACCATGAGTCACATCCATACAGGCCCAAAAGCAATGTGATTCACTGACCCGGTAAACGGAAACTTCTCAAATGATGAGCCAGAATAACTCATTCCTTCTTACATGATTGCTTTAGGCATCTTAGCACAGTAACATTTTTTTATATAGAAACATACTTTTATGTTGTTCCTTTTTACCCTTAATATCAAATTATTTTGTTCCAAGGGAAATCTGTATGTGGCATGGTATTTTATACATAACTTTTTAATGTGAATGGGTGCACATGTGTGTGCAAATGCATGTGGAAGCCAGAGGTAGATGGTGGATGTCTTTTCTGGATCACTTTCTATGTTTATTTTTGTGACAGTTTCTTTGTGAACTTTCTGTAGCTCACTGTTTATAGACAAGCTAGCCAATGAGCTTCAAAGACACCTACTAGCCCTCCCCTAGTGGGAGGGTTACAAGAACATGCCACTCTGCCTGGCTTTTTAACATGAGTTCTAGTGATCTTAACTCAGTTCCTCATGCTTTCAACACAGACACTTTTAAGAGGTGAGCCCTCTCTCAGCTCCAGAGGAATAAACTTTTATCTTCATGGAACAAGTGGGCAAGCAGAAATCAAATACAAGTCTCCTTATATCAGATTTAATGCTTTAAAGGGTTGTGACTTACTAAATGTATAAGTCAATCAAACATGATGTGAAGGCTAGAATGGCCTTTGAATTTTTACACTGGTACTGCAGTATGTATCCCTAGGTAGGTAGTTTCTCCCAAATAACACAAAGCGAACAAATATCAGTGATCACATTTAAAGTTATCAGAAGTTTACTATAGAACTATGAGCTATTAAGTCTAACAGAGAAATAAATTATGTGGTACTCCTAACCCATCTCTCTCTCTCTCTCTCTCCCTCTCCCTCCCTCCTTCCCTCCCCCCTCTCTCTTTCTCTCTCTTACACACACACACACACACACACACACACACACACATATCACTCAACTTGAGATTAAAAGAATTCCTCTCATATATTCAAAACAGTTGGCCAGCTCGCTTGAAGATAGGTAAAAAGAGAATCAGAAGATGCCTAAAATAATGAAAAGGTGAGAACTGAGAATAAAACAGAATGCTAAAGTAAAGACAGAAATTCACCAGAAATAGTAACAAGTTCCTATGTAAGGTATATGGTTAGAAATATAAACTATGGCAGCAATCTCCTACACAAACAAATACCTCAAATCACATTAAATTCTTCTAAAAGCCATATGTTTAGTTCCAAGCCTCATTTGTAAAGTTATTGCAGTTATAGTATTCATGTTGGGAACTCATACTACTTGACTTAAACTGTGATATGTCCATATGAACCACAAAATATTACACCAAAATAAATTATTATGTATCTTTTATTACATTTGTGATATGTACATACATATCTGTATATGTGGGGGTGGGTATACATGTGTATGCCAAGGCACATGTGTGAGGTCTGAGGCCAGCTTGTAGTAACTGGTTCTCTCTTTCTATAACATGGGCCTTACAGATCAAACTCAGGTTGTGACACTTGGAGGAAGGTGCTTTTATCTGGTAAAGTGACTCACCAGCCCAAGAAAACACTGTTAGTACACTTACATATTTATACCTAAAAGACTGAAAGTCATGATATTAAGACAAATATTAGGAGAAAAATAGGAAGAACAAAACCATTAATGATACCCTTGGCCATTGTATCTTTAGTCATACAAGGGACTCAGTCAGAAGGAGCAAAGATCCAGCCAGAATTTTACTGATTTGATAAAAGACAAAAATATTTCTATCAAGATCTAGAATTCACAGAGTATGAAATTATTTTATAAACTATTCTTTTTATAGCGGAAGAAACTGATTTTTCTAAATTTCTTTAGCATTTATCATCATGTGTTTTTATCAGTTAATTACAATGAAAAGTCTAATGGCAATATAACTCACAGGAAGGATGGATTATAGAGGGATATGCAATGGGTTATAAAAATTTTCAGAATCATCCTTAAGCTTCTAAAAATACCTTTCCTACCTGAGGTGCATTTGTAGCCACTAGAAATGCATTTGTTCTTCCTGGGTGATCATAATCGTGCATGGCAGCTGCCACATACAAAGCCATCAGTTCTAAAGCAGGAATGTTTGAAGACAGGCAGCCATAACTCTCATCTGGAATACAGCAACTTTTCGAAGAAATGTAAGCAATCTGTCCAGAACCAAGTCTACCATCTGAATCTGTATGACAAAAAAACAAAAAACAAAAAAACACAGCAAACCAACATTATGGTGTAATTTCCTGACAATTATGTTAAAGATTGGATTTCCCAAATCAGTACTAATTTGTTGAACTTAAATAGACTCAAAAGACTTAAAGCCTATACTTTTCCCATTATTTATCTTGCAGACCATCAGAAAATGCCGATGCCAAGATGATGCTTTCTTGCTCAGGCTAATTAATTTATGGAAACTCTAAATGTATAGCTTTCTAAACATTTGTTTTTAAGGGCTAAATATAGTAGCCAAATGTAGTCATAGCACCAAGAAGAAGTGGACGCAAAGTCCCACCCCTAACTAAGAAGATAACTGCAACTGATACCTCCTGGGAAAGGGAAAATCAATTTTCTCCAATGGAGTATCAGTGGGCATACATCAATCCCACTTGAGGACAGGTCCCATGCCCAAGGGTAGTTAATTAACACAAGACAGATGCCATATTTTGTTTTGTATGTGTGTGTATTATTTTGTTATTTTTTGTCTAATTTCCTTTTTTAAAAGTTTGTCTGTTTTGATTTCTTTTTGTTGTTTTTCCTGATTGTTTTGAGAAACAAAGAAAGTACACATAGCTGGATGGGTAGGGAGGTGAGGAGGATCTAGGAGGAATTGGGGAAGGTGAAAGAATATGATCAAAATACACTGAATGAAAATAATATTTAACAAAAATTAAAATATATATAATACTCAAAGGAAAGAATCTAACAGGACAAAACCTGAGAATAAAATTTAATTATAAAACAATATGCACATGTAGAAATTTAACGTATCACTAAACTAAGCTCCTTAATACAGACACTGCTTTTCAAATCCCATTTTCAAGAATTATTCATTTGCTGCATTGACGACAGTTTCTCTTCCCCTTCTTTTCCCTCCCATGAGGTTCTTGACAACTGAACAGAACAAAAGTATGAAGATGAAAAGGCCTGAAACACTGGAAACTATTCAGGGAACACTCCTCTGTTTCTTTAACTCCCACGTGCTAGCATGTATAGGTCTGTAGCACCATTCTTAACTAATTTTTTAGTTTAGCAGAGATATATTTTGACATTTTGATTTTTTTTGATTTTATGAGACAGGGTTTCTCTGTATTGTTTTGGAGGCTGTTGGTCCAGCCCAGCCACGAACTCACAGAGATCTGCCTGCCTCTGCCTCCCAAGTGCTGGGATTAAAGGCGTGCTCCACCACTGCCCGGCAGACATTTTGATCTTTGAAACTTAGTTTATAATTTAATGGGGAGTTTGTAGTGGATTTAATACAAGAAAATGTTCAGGATATTGACCTATTATTAACAATTAAATTCTTTTTAGTAGCAGCAGCTCCTCCCAGAGCACTTCTGGTTCAGCATCTCTCCACCTGCTCCTTTTGTTTATTGGTCAGACCTACATGGTCAGGCCATCATTTTCGCTAAAGGGATTTGAAGAAATTACAAAAAGTAAAAGACATAGTAGACAGCATATAAAACCAAAGATAAAAGAGACATGAGATATCCTTGGTTATGTTGATCAGTTAGAAATAATGCCTTGTCAAATCCAAATGATTTCATAATCATAATTTGGGGGGATCAATAAGTTCTATGAACATAAACTTCTTGCTACAACTTTTATTTTATATAGGAAAAAGTTCTTTACATGATGTAGTACTGTATTTATTATATATAATAATAATGAATAAAACACACAGGAAATTCCACTGGTGATAACAGAGAAGGCAACTCTGTATCCGAGATAAGAGAGGAATGGTTTGTCTTCCACTAAGAAAGGATCAGTTGTAATAAAACCTACCATTAGAGATGACTGGATAACTCCAGGGAATGGCATCAATTTGAGGGTTTATCATTAGTCTCTGCTATTAATAAGGTATTCAACAGGGAACTAAGCCAGGCCAACCTCAATGAATAAAAGCTCATAACACTAAGTTCATACATATGCTTTACTCTTACTATCTTTGCTGTTGTATTCATAAGCCTACTGAATGATATCTGGAGTAGATGGAAAGAAATTGATAATTCTCATGGGAAGAAATCACTTCAGTTGATTACTGAAAAACTCAACAGTAAATACTGTTAGGTAATTTTCTTTTTAAAATTTCTCCAAAATGCGTGCGTGTGTATGAGAGAGAGAGAGAGAGAGAGAGAGAGAGAGAGAGAGAGAGAGAGAGAGAGAGAGAGAGAGAGAGAGAGAGAGAGAGAGAATAAATAGGGAGAAGATGTGGTGGTTTGAAAGAAAATGGTGCCCAAAAGGACTGGCACTATTAGGAGGTGTGACCTTGTTGAAGGAAGTGTGCCACTGTGGAGGCAGGCTTTGAGGTCTCTTTTTCCCAAGCTTTCTCAGTGTGGCAAGTCAGTTGACTTCCTGTTGCCTGCCTGCAAGATGCAGCACTCTCAGCTCCAGCCCATGTCTGCCTACATGCTGCCATGTGTCCTGTCATGATGATAGGAAACTGAACCTCTGAAACTGTAAGCAAGCCACCCCAATTAAATTTTTCTTTATTAGAGTTGCCATGGCCATGGCATCTCTTCACAGCAATAGTAAACCCTAACTAAGACACTATGTATTCACATAGAAAGCTAACAGCCATTATTGAGTGTCCACTCTGAGGAGTTCTATACATAAACCTCTTTCCCAGAACTCCTTCTGGACAAATTTCTAATCTTTTTCTTTCTAAAGCTGTTAGCCACTGGCTAAAAATGAGTGTAGATCCTTTCCTCTAATCTCTCTTTCTAGGCCAAGTGTACTGCTTAATGTATTGGGTGTTGGTAAATTTTAACTTTCCCTATATCCAATCAATGGACTCTTCTACTTTCAGAAGGCACAGACAAAGATCCATCAATAAGCCTGGCCTTTTGGTCCTTCAATTAACTGGTTCCAGAAACATTTCCATGGAGCCATAAATATGGATAAAGAAAAGAAAGGCTCAGAGGGCCCAAAGTTCATTTTGAGTACAATATGCAGTAACATGGTTCTCATGGCCAGTTTTCTAAATGCACCAGAATACAGTAGCAATTAGGAATTTTTACCCAAAAGAGAATAGCTATCTGAGGAACATAGCTTCAGTTTATCTCAAACCTATGGATTTATACATTGTAATTTCCTTTCAGTAGTCTACAGAGGCTCCAGAGAGGAATTCTATCTGCAAAAAATACCATGAGCTGGATTGGTCAGTCATCTGGAAATGCAACTTACACATGTGGAAAACATTTCATATGGTTTTCATACTTTGAGTAGCACATACTATTCATACAATCTACAGCCTTAGTGTCAAAGGACTGTAGTGTGTGTGTGTGTGTGTGTGTGTGTGTGTGTGTGTGTGTGTGTGTGAAGGTTTAGTATTCAGATGTTGTAAATTTGCCATCAGAACTCAGAGATCCCTCTAGGTACAGATTTTCAAATTCATCAGTTGTCTACCATTTTGCAACAGAAATCGCAATAGTGCTTAGACACCGCCCCTCCGCAAGCTGCCTAAAAAACTCTGCCAAGTAGAGATATGATTGATCTCTTTCCCCTCACCTTCTCCTAACTTACTCTTATTGAGCATCAAAGATATTCATTGCTGTGTGTGTGTGTGCGTGCGTGCGTGCGTGCGTGCATGCAAGCATGTGCTCATAAGTGCAGTGATTGCCAAAGCCAAAAGAGGCCAAAAGATCCCTTGGAGCTGGACTGTGAGCCACTCACAGGAGTACTGGAAATGAACCTGGATTTTCTGGAAGAACAGCAACTGCACTTAACTTCTGAGCTGTCTCTCCAGGGCCCATTCACTACTTCTTAGTCAATAGGAGCTACTCAACATTATCTCACCAATGTAACATACAGGAAGAAAATAGACTACAGAATAAGCAATTTTGTATTCCATAAAAAGTCTACTCTAGTAGACGTATTTTACTAGAGTTTTTTACTCTTTTTTAAGTTCAAATAAGAGATATAGGAACTTGATAATAGATGAAGTTTATTTAAACAGTGGTATTTATGATGAGGGATAGTATGAAGTTTTTGGAACTTAAGTTACAATGTTTGCGAATGTTTTTAAGTATCACTTATATACTTCCATCATATTTTTAAACATGTTTCTTTGGTTTGGTGTTACTGTGCATTTTAAACATACTAATAGACATGAAACAAAATTATCAAAATATCCAAGATAATGGCTATATTGGTTCAGTGGGAAGAGAAGGAAACATGTGGCATACAGTAGTTCTGGATCATAACCTACTTCTTAAGACGGTAACAGGTTTAAAATTTTTATGTTATGTTAAATATCGTAACTTACACAATCTTCTATGTATACCAAAGTTTACTTAAAGAAAAACTTTAGAGATTAGAGGCTATTACATAAAACAGCTCGATTTATTATTTCTAATTAAATAATTAAAAGAAAGACTTGTAGGAGGAAGTACCTGCTTCGGTCTGTGCTTCATGGTTATCATGGCTCTGCTGTAAGCCAGGAATTGGTCGTGTTGTCAGATACCAAACAGCATGTAGTACATCTGTGGCATGTATACGATTGTGATCTGAAATTACCCAAATACTTTATTACAGCATAATTCTGTTTAGGTTTGGCATAAGACATTTGAAAAGTGAAAAAAATTCTAGTTGTATTATATTCCAACAAATAAGACATAGTAGTTAAAGGAATTTCCCATAATTGTATTTTGTTTTATTTTTAAGATATCGGTATATTAAAATATTTTTTAAAAAAAACAACTTTAAAAAGTTCTCAGATAAAATAAAAAAAACATAGTAAAAAAAAGAGCAGACAGGGAAAACAAAGATAACTAAAAGGTATGAAAAAATTATTGAGATTTCTATTCTGTGACTTTTGTAATGTGGTATCTGGATTATGGAGAGACAATATAGAAGAGTTTTGGGAACAGAAAAGATGGCCCAGTAGGTAAGAGAACTTCCTATGTGAGCATGATGATCCAAGGCCAGATCCCAGCACCCAAGTGGCAAGCTGGGCATAACTGTATGTGAACTATAATCCCAGCTCCCAGGGTGGAGCCGAGAAGACAGGACTGTGGGAGCTTGCCTGGTCTCCAGCATAGATACAGGTTCAGTAAAAGAACCTGTCTCAAAGACAGTGATACAGAGGATACCCAAAGTCATCTTTTAGTTTCTTTCTGTCCACACAAGCATGTCCATGTGTATACATGCATGCACACACACACAGAAATCGTTTTGCTCAGAACAGTTATATAGTCTGCATACCTATGTATTGCCAAAAAACAATGAAATCTTGAAATTCACAGGCAAAATGGATGGAACTAGAAGAAACCATCCTCAATGAAGTAACCCAGTCACAGAAAGACAAGCATGATATGTACTCACTCATATATGGATATTAGACATAGAGCAAAGGACTTCCAGCCTACAATCCACACCACCAGAGAAAGGAAACAAGGAGGACCCTAAGAGAGAAACACATTGTCCCCAGAAGAAGGGGAAAGGGACAAGAACCCCTGAACAAATTGGGCGCACGGGGGGCGGGGGAAAGAGAAGGGGAGAAGAGGACGGGGAGGAGAATAAGAGGGATCAGGAAGACTGAGACAGGGAAGGAATAGAGGAGAGCAACAAAACAGATACTTTAATAGAGGGAGCCATGATAGGTTTAAAGAGAAATCTGGCACTAGGGAAATGTTCAGAGATCTACAAGGATGACCCCAACATAAGAATCTAGGTAGTAGTGGAGAGGCTTCCTTGGATGCCCTTCACCTATAATGAGATTGAGGACTACCTTAATTGCCATCCTAGAGCCTTCATCCAGTAGCTGATCAAAGCAGAAGCAGGCACCCACAGCTAAGCACTGAGCCATACTCCCAGAATCCAGTTGTAGAGAGGGAGGAAGGATGAGCAAAGGAGCCAAGACTGTGCTGGAGAAATCTACAGAACCAGCTGACCTGATCTAGTGAGAGCACAGGGACCCCAGTTGTAAAGCTGGGGAACTAGCATTGGACCAAACCAACCCTCTGAATGTGGGCACCAGCTAGGAGACATGGGTAGTCTGTGGTACCTCTAACAGTAGAGCCAGTGTTTATCCCTAGTGTAGGAATGATCTTTGGGAGCCCATTTCCTTTGGAGGGATACTATTGCAACCCAGATACACAAAAGAGGGCCTATACAACATTTATGTGAAGGAAACTAAGTATAAATGAATATTAATATAATAATCCACATTATATAAAATAAATTTAGAAAAAGGAAGAACATATCAGAATTAACACATCAGTTAACACCAAGTAATAGGATATAAATATTTTAATATATATTTAAAAATTTGCCAAATGTGTATTTTAAAAAATATAAGGGCTTATCTAAAGAGAAAGACAAGTTATTAGAACTTAACCAGGTATGCCAATACTCACAAGGAATGTCTCGATAGCCATTTTCTAATGCACGAAAATAATTCATAAATTCTTGAGTGGGAATTTTAAATGTTTCCAATAAACCAGTATCTTGAAATAAAGTATACATAACCTAAATGTAAAACAAAATGAAGTGCACTTTAAAAATCAGAATGTCTCTCTGTAGCTTAGTTTGTTATATACTTAGGAATATAACCATGCAGATATTTATTTTTCTTGAGGTATTAGGATTGAATTCTGAGATCCCTACATGTTAGGTAGGAACTCTATTCACTAAGTTATGTTCACAGTCCATCTTGGTTTTTAGAGTCTCATCAAGTTGCCTAGGATGGCCTTGAACTTGAGATCCTCCTGATTCAGCCTCTTAAATTACTGGGATTACAGGCTGTGATACCAGGTCCATCAAATTTATTTGATTTGAATTGATTTATGCTTGTGGTAGCTGGGGTGGCAGGTGTGTGAAGGTTCTGTGGAGGGCAGAAGAGGTTGTTGGAGACCCTGGAGTTGATGTTACAGGCAGTTTTAAGTCACTTGACACGAGATCTGGGATCCAAACTCGGGTCCTCAGGAAGAGCAGAAAGTATTCCTAGTCACTGAGCCATCTTTCCAAATCTTTCAGTAAATCTTATCACATGTATCATATCCCGCTTTAAAATTTTTCCTGACTTCTCTGTAGTCTTTTATTCCAAATTTACTGAAAGATGTTGCAAATTCTACTTTGTTGTTAAATGTTTTAAAAAAAAGTCCAAAAATGTATTTATCATAATTTTGGCTTTCAAGAATTCAATGGAAGGACTTTCTACATCCATCACATGGTATCCATTTTTGTCTTGAATTTCATAGATAAGATATTAAGGAAATTAGTGAGAATCATTATTTTAGGAAGGTCAACTGTTATATAGACTGATTAGGTAGTACTCTGACTCTTGGTTCATTTACGAGATGAACTATTCAGTCAAGGTCTAGAAAGAGAGAGCAGACTAAAAAAGTGAAGTTCACATTTCAGTAGTTAGAACTAAATCACTTTTTAGGTCCTTTCAAAACTCTTTATTACTATGTTAGCCTAAATTAGATCTATTAATATAATCAAATCAATGATTTTCATTTGTGAAATATTTATAAATTTATAATAGCATACAATATAACACGTGTGTATCATGTACACTTAGCTGCATGTTTTGAGGCTTACCTGAAAGATAAATTTAATGACAATGCCATTTCTGAACTTTAACTTAAACCAGTATCATGATTTAGATTTTGCCCTTATAAATGAGAGAAAATTATAGTAATAAAGTAGAGATGTGAAAACAAACCTGACTGAGAATCCTTCCTGATTTTTCTCCCATCTTTTCTACAAGCTCAAAAATCTGAAAATTCCAGTTGCTCATCTTTTCTATTAACAAGTCATAATCTTCTACTAACATCGAGTCCAATAACACTTCCTGGTCAATCTGAACACAGAAGAAAAAAACAACTTTATGTTCTACAATTTTTCAAAGTGAACTTAAGTCACTTATTTTATTCAAAACAATACATCTAAAATATTATTTTAATATGTTAGTCATTATAAATGCATTCTAAAGGATTATTACTGTATATTATATGTGTGAGCACACATTTTGAACTCACATCTAAGTGAAATGCTTAGAACTGAATATTAATAACAGCCATCTTTTCTTTTTTTCTTTTTTTTCTTTTTTTTTTTGGTTTTTACGAGACAGGGTTTCTCTGTATTGTTTTGGAGGCTATCGGTCCAGCCCAGCCTTGAACTCACAAAGATCCGCCTGCCTCTGCCTCCCGAGTGCTGGGATTAAAGGCGTGCGCCACCACCGCCCGGCTAACAGCCATCTTTTCTATAGTGATTTTCTCAAATAGTCTTTCATCTTGCCTTCTATTTCTTCTATTTGTTAAATGCCATCTTGAGACTTTAAACACATCTTATTAGCATCTGAAGGCTGATGATACATTGGTTACATAAGTAAGCATTTTATTTCCAAATGACTATGTAAATCTAAAAATTCATTATTTTCATTTTAGAAAGTGTATGTAACAAAGTATAAGGAAAAAAAACTTGTCTTATTACAGTAGAACCTCTTACTAAGATAGTATCCCCAAGTATATGAATGGGATTTTTGTCTTACAAACTTACATATTGAACTTCAGGAAAATGGTACTACTACTAGAAGTAATTGCTGTTTTTTAATATTTTGTGTGTGTTCAGTCACACATGTGACAGTGTGTGTCTGTGAAAGTCAGAAGATAATTTTTCAGTGTCAAAGTTCTCTCCTTTCACCATTTGGATCCTGGGATTGAACTCAGATTATCAGGCTAGTCAGCAAGCACCTTTACCAACTAAGCCAACTCGATACCCCATGCAAATAATTATTCCGCTTTTGCATATGGTCTCTGCATTTAGATACAATTGAGCGAAAACAGAAACATATTTACTACAAAATTAAATATTCATACAAAAATAAATCTTTGTTGTTCCTGGATGATAGGTTTATGTCTATTATTTATGACCTAGGCATTATTTCAGTAATTGTGATTTCAGTGAAAAATTAAAATGCTATTTCATTGATAATTATATTCTGTGTAAAAAAAATGAAGCCAGTACTAACTCGTATCATATTTCACCTTAACATAATGATATTGAAAGTTTATCTTTTACATTTGGTTGCTGTGCCTCTTCCATTAGGTGATTATCACCTTCCAAAATTAATTCCCTGCTGTCTTTCTTGGCCATCTCTTCTTGAGTTTCCATGATGTTGAATGGTTCTTTTGAAAAAGCAGTGTTGTCTTCTTCACCTTTCAAAAAGTATATATAGCAATAAACAGAAACAAAATGTGTCTTAAATATGCAGGTTTTTTTTTTACAAAAACTGGTTACTGATTTAAAATTATTCTGATAGAGTGAACAACAATACAATTCAGTTTAAACCATTTATTCATACCATCAAGCTCTATCTTGTTGACACTGTGTCTACGGTCTTATGCTCAAACAGCACAAACACTTCGCATGTGGGACTCAGTTTATAATATCTACTCATGGTGACAGAAAGGGGTAGATATAGATACCGTTATCAAAGTGAGAAACAGAAAAAGTCAACTCCTATCAACAGACACTTCTTGGCAATTTGATATAAACAATCCTCATATGAGAGTCAGATATAAAAACTCTAAATTCATAATTATATGTGAATACAATTAAGCCATATGTAAAACTTAAAATTACAATATGATGAATTCTAAGTTATTTATATGTTTATTAACGTTCTTTTTCTCAGGCTACATGGAAAAGAAGAGTAACAGCAGTAGCCAAACAGAACTTATTCATGGTACATTTTATCTATAATACTCTAAACAGGTACTTTTCTTGTGGTGGATTCACAAGAATAAATGCAGTTACATACAATGTGAGTGAGTTCTTAAATATAAAATGATCAATGAAGAAAGGCAGGGGGAAGGTTCATATCCTATTATTCTCCTTGTGAAATGCTCTTTTAAAAGTCTCAAAACTGATATTTGGACCAGGGAGATGGCCATGCCAGTCAAGGTGCCTGCCACACAGCCTGGCAACCTGAGTTCAATCCCTGGATCCCATATAAATGTGGAGAGAACCAACTCAACAAAGCTGTCTGATCCCCACATGCACACCATGGTATGAAGGCCTCCCCAGTCCCAACCTGCCATCATTCACAAACATACAATACTTTTTAAAAAAAATTTAATGATATGCATGAGTGGTACACATGAGCACTGAAAGACAGGGAAATCATTACCTTAGGGGGCACAGCTTCAAGGGTGCATAAAGGGAAATTTTAAGATAACATTTAGTTTCTAGATTTCAGTACAGACGGCACAATGCATAAAAATTAATTGAGCTTTAAACTCATGGTCTGTGTGCTCTTCAATACATAGGATTTTAAATCTTTTGTTCTGTTTATTTACTAAGATGGCACCTCACTAAATTGCCCAGTCTCCCCTCAACTAGAAATCTTTCACCATATCCACACTATAGTCCTGGCTGTTTTAAAAGTAAAACTAGGTTTGTTTGTTTGTTTTGTTGGGTTTTGTTTTGGGGGGGAGAGTTGGGTCCACACATCTCACTTTGTAGCACAGGCTGGCCTAGAAGAGTTAATATGTAGCTCAAGCTGAGCCTTGATTTACAGCATGTTTCCTTCTCCCAAGTGCTGGAGTTGTACAGGCATAAGACAGTGTGCTGGTTCTTCTGAACTCTGAAATGCCCTTACTGAGCATGGCAGTGCCCCATGCCTGTATCAGCTAACAAGGAGGCTAGTCATTAAGCTGAAGCCAACATGGGCAATTTAGAGAGACACTATCTCATAGAGAAGAAAAAATTTAACAAAAAGTACTCATGAAGTTAATCTTCAGAAGTAGGTTCAAAGCCTGATGCCTATACTTAAACATAATGGCAAGCTTTCTCCTCCCCATAAAATGTTGACAGTAAGTAATATAACTTACCAGATGTTAAACACAGTGATTCAAAATTAGTGAATTTTGTGCCTAATATACTGAATTGCAAACTCATTAATTTAGGATTAGAAAGTACTATTGTTTGTAAAATGATACATTTCCAAATAAAACACACTCATTTCATAAAATAAAAAGTTAATGCCTCTTCATCTGAAGCTGCATTTTCTAATTTAGTTACCCATGGTCAACCACGGTTCATGGATAAGTCATGCAACTCAAACTGTCTGTACATCTTCTACAGTGATGTGAGAAAGATATAAGAGAGCAGAGAGTAAGAATAAACAGAATCTATTATATACAAACTAAGTTGTTAAAGAACAAATCTAACCAAAAATTATTGGCGTTTGATATTTATTACATGATTTTTAGTGATTTAAACAACTGAAAATTCTGGCTTTTTCCATGGCAGAAAGTGCTGGAGCTGAATTTTTAAGATGGATGCCTACTGGCTTCTAATTTGTTGGTTATACTCTGAAAGAGGAGGAAAGAGGAGCTGCTAGTCAATAGTGTCATTTATCTCTGAGCAGTCATGAAATCTCTTGAGACTCAATGGTATTGGTAAATAAATAAGTTCTCATGAGAGAGGTATGCTTGGAATACATTTTAGAAATGTGTGGAAGTGTTGTTGATTTCTTTGGAGAATGTATTGCTGTATCTGTAACTAAATCTGTAATAGCCAGAAATGGAAACCGTTTAGATGTCTCACAACAGAAGAATGGGTAAAGAAAATAGGGTACCTTTACACAATGGAGTATTACTTAGCCATTAAAAAAATGAAATGATTAAATTTTCAGGTAAATGGATGGAACTAGGAAAAAATCATCCTGAGTGAGGTATCCTAGACCCAGAAAGACAAAAATAGTATATATTCACTTATATTTGGATATTAACTATATGCCAATGATAACCAAACAATGATCTACAGAACCACAGAGGTTGGGTAAGGGCCTGGGGGCTGCAGATAGATCTCATTAGGAAAGGGAAATAGTTATGGATGAATGTGAGGTAGAACAGGAGAATCAAGTGGGAGCAGGAGGAGAGAGGTGGTTGGGAGAAGTAGATGAGGGAGGGAATACAGGAAGAAATACCTAAAATTAAAGATCACTGGAGGGGAAGTATGGAAACCAAATGCAGTAGAAGCTTCCTAAAATATATACATACTTAAAGGTGATCTAAATGAAATTACCAAATAATGGGGGAAACAAAAAGTCCCTACTGGCCATGTCTTGTTACTAAATGAAGCTTCCAATATCAGGATTGGTTTATATCTAATTGAGTTGTTGGCCAAAGGAGTCCCATGGGAAGCCCCAGACAACCTAGGCCAAGACTATAGATTTGCTCTCCACAAACTGACAGCAAGGCCTCAATGCTGAGGGCAACACCTATACAACACACTGTCACTGAACATAGAGAAGTTAAGCTAATGCATTCATAGAACCTTTACCCCTATGGCTAGAGATTTTGGTACATGAAGGTACTCTGTATGCTATCAATAGAGAAATGTAAACATCTAGCCAGCTGTAAACCTTTGGATGGACAATGGTGTCCTGCCTGCAAGATATGCTAGAGCAATGGTTCACAAGGCCTGTGGAAATCACCAACCAGTATCTGATTTCACTTAGGGCCCACTCCAACAGATGGAAACCATACTCAATGCTGCTTGGGTAACTGAGAACCAGAGACTAGATAGCCCAAAGACTTAGGATAAATCCAAATACTACTGGTTCTTTTTTTAAAAAATGCATCAATAAAATGACTCCTAATGCATTCTGATATATCTATAGGTGTTTTGCTCAACCATTGTCAGAGAAGCTTCCTCCTACAACAAGTGGGAATAATTACAAAGACTTACAGCTAGATATTAGTCAGAAAGGAAGAAACCTTGAAACAGTCAACCCTAAATGGATCTCCATCAAATTCCTCCCCTTAGGCCTCAGGGAACCCCATGGAAGAGGAAGCAGAAAGTGGGGATGAATTACACCAAGAAAACAAGGCCCTCTAAATCAATATCATCAAAGTTACACGAATTCAAAGAGACTAAGGCATCAGGATGTTCATGTATCTGCACTAGGTCCTCTGAGGCCTCTGCATATATATTATGGCTTCCAGTTCAGTATTTTTATGGAATTCCAGAGTGTGCTAAGGAGTGGGTCTCTAATTCTTGTATCTTGCCTTAGGCTCTTCTTCTATTTGTCTTGTCCAACTTCAATGTGTTAGTTTTTGTGTCATCATGGTATATTATGTTATATTTGCTATGCTATTCTCTTAGAAAGCTGTTTGTGTTCTAAGGTAGTGGATTCAGATGGGAGAGAAGGTGTGAAGGAACTGGGAAGAGTAGAGGGAGGGGAAACTGTAATGAGAATAATATATATATATATATATATATATATATATATATATATATATATATATTTGGGGGTGGTTCGAGACAGGGTTTCTCTATATTGTTTTGGAGGCTGTCCTGGAACTCACTCTGTAGACCAGGCTTGCCTCAAACTCACCGAGATCCCCCCGCCTCTGCCTCCCAAATGCTGGGATTAAAGGCATGCACCACCAACGCCTGGCTGACGTTGAAAATATTTTTAATAGAAGAAAATTATTAATTTTAAAAATTCCAACCTACTCAGATAAAAATGAAAGTCCTCTAATCTCAGAGAACATTTATAATTAGAATTTATACCATGAAATATTTAGCCATTTGAAGTTCAAGTTGGAAGAAATCTTTTTAATTGAGTTTCTAGAGCATAAACCACCCTGTGCTCTGATGGGAAACAGAAATGACTATATAAATGGAATATAAAATTCACTAAAATCTGGAAGTTTGCTGTCACATTAAACAAATAAGAAAACATTCCACACAGTAATATGCCACATGACTGCTGCCCTGGCCAACATCTTAATGCACTCACATGGAAAGTACTCAAGTGGAATTCTCCCCACTGAGACTCATCATTCCAGAGAACTAGGAGAAGTAGAAAAAAGAAAATGTGTGTGTGCGCATGCATATAATATGTATATATATATATGATATATATGTAATATATATACATGTATAAGTATTTCTTAAAAAGCTGTATTAAATTTAATGGCATGCTATTAAAACCTACCATGCCAGTGAAGGACAATATAGCAGAATACCTTATATTGGGTGACTTACAAACAACAGAAGGTCTTTTCTTATAGTGTGAGGCCAAGAAGTAGATCAGAGTATCAGTGGAGAGGAGTTCGGAGAAAGTTCTCCTAGGTTTCAGAATGTCAGTTTCTCACACAGTAGAAAAGAAAGCTACAAAGTTCTAGTGAGTCTCTTTTAAGGGAAATAATCTTACTTCTGAGAGTTCCACCTTCATAAACTGATTAGTTCCCAAAGGCCCAAACTGTAATCGTATTGAGGGTCAGGGTTTAATATCTGAATTTGGGGTAAACAAAAGAAATTTTAGCCCGTACCCTAAGTATACAACTACATGTTTTCAGTAAATGTAAGGATGCACAACTATCATGACAATCCACTTTTAGAACAGTCTCACCGTCTCCAAAATGTCCCTCATGCCTGTTTGCGGCTAGTCTCCACTATCCTCTTAGGTCTCAACTGTCCTGACACTGAATATAAATTTACCCTTTGAGAATTTCTTTTACATGTAATAATATAATATGTAAATATTTAAGCATTGTTTCTTTCACTAAAAATATTATCATTTGTGTTGAATCATATAGCAAAAATTCATTGCTTTAACTGCTAAATAAAATTCTACTGTAGGATATACTAATAGCATTTATTCACTCACAAGTTTATGTTTATATTGCTTCCATTTCTGTGCTACCACGACGAATACTTTTGAGTGGGTTTTCTCCTGGTTATACTCTGAATTATAGTATTGTGAGCTTGTGATAAATAAACATATAACTTTCTAGAAACTATCAAAGTTTTTTACAAAAGGGTCCAAATTCCTCTACATCCTTCCACTAGTGACTTTCCCTTTGATTTTTAGCTGTTCAACTTAGACTATTAATGTTATCTCCTAAACTGAATTTCCCTGAGGAATTTTGTCATCTTTTTCTATTTTATTTATCCAGTTAGCTCTTTTGCCAAATGACTGTCACTTCCTCCCCCTTCTTTGTGTTTTTTGTTAGTTTTGTTTCTATTTTTTGACAGAGATTTCACTATGTACCCATGATGACCTCAAATTTATTATCTCCTTGCCTCTATCTCCTGCATTCATACTACAAGTACTTTTCTCCATTTTTAACTAAATAGTCTAACATACTACTATTGAATTTCAAAAGTTGTTTGTACAGCCTGAATATAATTCCTATTTAAACAAATAAATTGTACCTGTTTCCTGTTGCTTTTGAGTTGTCCTTTTACTTTCTTATTAGTGCCTTTTGAATAAAAACCTCATTTACTTACTTTTTGCTTCCTTCTTTCTGTACTAGTGGGTACTGATCTAGGGCCTTACTGGTGGAGTTCTACCACTGAGAGTTTCTCCTCGGCCCTCTTTTTACTGTTAACTGTTAGGGTGGGGAGCTGGAGAGATGGTTCAGCAGTGAACAGTTACTGGCTGCTCTTACAGAGGACCAGAGTTTGATTTCCAGCACCCACATGGTGACTCACAACCATCCATAATTCAGTGCTCATAACTCAAATTCAAGGGGAACTAACTGGTGCCCTCTTCTGGCTTCTAGGGGCAATGAATACACATAGTGCAGAGACATAGACTCAGGCAAAACACATACACATAAATAAGTCTGTTTTAAAAATTGAAAATTTCAACAGGTCTCATTGAGTTACAGAGAATTGTCTTGAATTTATTCTGTAACTGGACTAGCTTTGACTCTATAGTCCAAACAGACTGTGTACTTGCCTCCTGAACAGCTGTAAAGGCCTGGCCCAACAGGTCTGGTTAAACTTTTAATTGCTAAAAAAAATTTTGGCAATTTTTTTTCTTCCAGAGATGGTAAAATTTGTATTTAAAATTGATTTTTTCAAACCAAGGATATACCAACTTGACCCCTTCTGTAAGTTTTATGGTTTTTTTACACTGTAATTTAAGTTACTTTTTAAGGGTTCAAATTCTTTTCCTAACCAGTGGATATCTCAGGACTATCTGTTGAGAAAACCATCCTTTCTTTTCTCAACAATCTGGCTTACCTGTCAAAATTAATTGACATTAATGCAAGACTCTTTCCCTGACCCTCAGTTCTACTCCATTGACCTGGGAACTTCATCTCTATGCCCACACCAAACATCTCAAATTCCATTTTCTTTTGTAGGTTATTTGAATTTCCACATAATTTTCAACATCTTACTTTTCAGTTTCCACCCCCCTAAAACATGAATCAGCTGAAATTTTTTAAAGGCTGTATTAAATTGGTTTTTATCCATTTGAGAGAATTATCATTTTAATAATATTGAGTTATCAAGTCCTATGAAATGACCATCTGTCAAGGTATTGTCTCAGCAATGTTTTATAATCTTGAATGTATGAATATTCTTTTACTTATTCTGTTAGATTTATTCTAGCTACCTTATTCTTTTTGATACTACTTTGAAAGAAATAGTCTCTTATCTTCAGTTTTTAACAACTTATTTTTAACATGGAGAAACAGTGTTGAATTAAACTTGTATGTTTCTAGCAGTTCTAGGAGGTGGCAAAGTGTGTGTGTGTGTGTTACAGTTTCTACTGAAAAGACCTATCTATGAACAGATGATAGATAACTCATAGATAATGATCTAGATAATGATCTATGAATAGATATTCCTAGATTATGGGTGACTTCATTTATTTTTCTTTCGCATTTCTCTCAGTAAACCCTTAGTATACTGCTGAACAGAACTGCAGAGACCATACATTCTCCTCAGCTGTTAATGAGCTTCTGGAAAGCAATAGTGTTTCTCCAGTAAGAACACTTTTGGAGTGGTGTGACTCAACAGCATACTGTTCTTGTAGTGGACCCAAGTTTAGTTCCTAGCATACTCATCATGAGGCTCATAACAACTTGTAACTCCAATACTAGTAGATCTGACAAATACTTCTGGCCTCTGTGGGCACCTGCATTCCATGATTCCATGTATATATCCACACACATACACATAGTTAAAATAAGAAAATAAATATTAAAAAATACAAAAAGAAGAATGTTAACTGATCAGCAAGATGGCTCAGTGGATAAAGGTGTTTGCTGCTAAGTCTGATGACCTGAGTTCAAGACCCTATTACCATAAGTTGACTTCTGACCTTCACACATGTGCTTCATACATATATATTTACATTTGACCTGCATGCACGCACGCACGCACACACGCGCATGTGCACACACAGACACAGACACACACACTAAAATTTAAAAGGACTGGGAATATAGCTAAGTGGTAGAGCCCTTGCCAAGTATTCATAGGGCTCTCAGTTCAAGCCTCAGCAACATAAAAATTAAATGTAATAAAAATTTAAAATAATATTAACTATCTCTTTTCCATTAAGCATGTTAACTGTGAATACACCTTTTATCAAGTTGAGGAACCATCTAGCTATTAAAAGGTTGGTTTTAACCACAAAATTGGTAAATTTTTGTATTAGCGCTTTTCTTTTTCCCTTTCCCTGTTTTTCTATCTCTTGAGAATATTATGTGATCCCCCCTCCTCTATTTCATTACTTTAGTGTACATCACTAATTAATCTTTGGATGTCCCATGATTCTTGCATTTTTGGAATACCAGTTGACCATGGCAGGGGCATTTTTACATTTTACTTAAGTTTGTTAAATTCACTCTGCTAGTATTTTGTTAAGAATTTTTATGTCTATGTACATAGGAGATAACACTCTGTTGCCTCTTCTTGTGATGATTCAGTGTAGATGTGGTGTTCAAATAATATAAGTCAAATGATTAAACTGAGAGATTTTACTTTCTCTGTTTCTGGAAGAGGGTGTGTAAAGGATTGGTCACAGTCCTGTTTTCCTTTTAAATGACTTTTTAAAATGTAAATTAAATAAACAATAAATCATTTACAAACTGTTGAGTCCTATTCTTTAAAAGTGAATTTTATAGTCCAGAAGTATTGGCAAGAGTCTATTTCTCTGTGACTCCTTTTGTCAAGGGTACAACCTTTTACAGTTTACACCTTCCATGATAACTTTTTAAAGTTATGGAATAGCGAAAATTTCATCAACAACATTTCTTGTTTGAGGGTATAAAAAGCTTCATAGTGACATGAATGACTTCTCTCAAAGCCATGAAAAGTATGTCATCCCTTTCACACTTAAATTGTATAGTAAAAGTTTCAACATTACTAATTTCACTAATTAGCAGCCATAGCCAAAGACTACATTCACCTGTGCAACACATTTGTTACTCTTCAAAATATGCCTGCCATCTGTCACTGTCATCATTCGTAATTCCTGGGGAATAAGTAAAACTACTGTATTCTTCACTGTGAAGATATACAAGTATTCATTTACAACATGTGACTCTCTTTTCATCCCTAGCACCATGGAAAAACAAAAACCCAGAAATGTATAAGTAGGTACATGGAGGTTAAAAATACTGTAAAACTAGCCTTGAACTCAAATAAATGTGATTGATGCAATCTCACCTGATTTTCCACTGTGGTGGTCTGTACCATCCGATTCCCATGTTGAAACATATTTGAGTATTTGATGTCCACAGCTTATAGAATAAAATAGATAAATATATATATACATACATACATATAATAAATGAGGCTTTGTTTTTTTATCTAAACATAATTAGGGAGTCTGCCTAATTTTTAAATAAGATCCCAATTGTAACATATTGTAATATACTAATCTATGCATAAACCTGAATGATTTCATTCTAGGAAGCTCCTTTGTGTCCTGAAACAAATGGTAAGTTTTTGAAAGTCAACACTGGGGTCTAAGATAAAGCTTGTATTTCTATTAGAGCCAAAATAAGAACACCAAATCAAGAAGGGATTGCAAAATAAGTTCTAGGTAGTGTATATTTAAAAGTTCTGTTTACTAAAACATTATGAAGAATAGAATACAACTGTATTTCACCTTAGATGGAAATTAATAGCACTAAATTGAGAAAAACATTCAATTATAATAAAAACTACTAGGTTAAATATAGGGGATATAGTCTTAATCCACCCTGCACTTATAATACAGAATCAGAAAGGCACCAATACCTTTCAAGAGAACCTATATATTGAAACAGAAAGAAGGAGGTTAGGGGACTTACCTGCTACACAAATTGCTATCAGGGTTTCTAAGGTACTGATAGAAATCTGCTGCATTAGGTACACTGCCCAGTGATCTATGTAAAACAATACTTGGCTTAGTAAGAAAATCAGCAGTATCAGGAAATTCTATGGGTGATCGATTAGTTTGAGAGCCAGTAGACGCTGGCACATGGCTTGGAGAGTTCACAAGACTAAGGCTGGGCAAAGCACCTGAAAATTAAGAGAGAATATATAAATAAATATGTATTCACTGTCTGTTTGAGTTTTTACAAAGAGCACATGCCTCCTAAAAGAAAGAAATTACAATTAAATAATAAATTTCTATCTATGCTGGGCTTTGAGACAGTCTAAGAATTTAAGCAATAAAGCAATAGCTATTGTATTTGTTGTTACTAATCATTACAAAGTAATTAGTAGTTATCACCTCTGGCATAAAAACGCATACTAGGTAAATATTGAGAATTCCTTTAAATGTGTGGATTACACAGCACAATTTTTTCAAGTTCAAATTGGTCTTAATCTTTACATTTTGTGAAAGGCCCATGGTTTCAAGAAAAAAAAAGTTGATTATCCACATGACAAAGTATTGGAAATTTTTCCTAATTCATAACATCTAATATTGAAGAACTAAAGTTCTTAACAACATTAAGCAAGTTGACAAAATTATACCAGCACAGCAACAGGTCTTTTTAAAAAATAAAACCACGAATTCACAGCTCATTCAACAAACACTTGAGAGGCTACTTTATGCTAAAAATGTGTTGAATTTCACAACAATGGAGAAAAAAGTTAATATCTCTGCAACTCAGCAAGCCTAGAACACAGTAAAGAGAATCTTTCTCTCTGTCTCTCTGTCTCTGTCTCTCTCTCTCTCAAACACACACACACACACACACACACACACACCAAATGAACAAAAAAAAACATGAAGAGAAAAATTCTTCAGGACCAAGTATTATGTCTCTCAAATTACTGGCGGAATCTTTGGTGAACTCTTTGTGCTAAAGTGAAGGTTTACCTGAAGAGAGGTACACAGAAGTAATACTTTGGTAGGAATTAAAGATCCCATAAAACAGATATATGGTAAATATATACCACACTGTATTCACTGTCATTAGGTTATTTGCGTATCTTGGCTCTTTTGAATATTGTGGTGATGCACACAGAAGCACATATATGACGACCACAGAGGACCGATTTCCTTTGGGTTATCTCAAGAAGAGGGACTCCTGTTCACATACTTCTAGCTATACATTTTGAGGTTTCCATACGGGCTATGTCAATTTTCATCCCTAGTATGTACTATAGGTGCCTTTTCTCCACACCTTCCCCGACATTAGTATCCCATGTTTTAAAAGTTCTCTAACACAGCTTACGAGTTTTTTGAGAAGCAGGGTTCTAGATCCACTCCTTTGCATATGCATATCCACTTTCAGCAGCATATGAAATGAAAATACTTATTTCTACTACTAAGTCATCTTGGCATCTTTGTCGACAATATTTGACAATACCCCAAATTGGAGTTTTTTTAGGCCAATAATATACTCTTAATTACCATAACTTTGTAATTAGCTTAATAACTGGACTTGTGAGAACTCCTTTTTTCCTTCACAAAACTCCATCCCCCCCCCATTTCTTTTGTCCTTCTTTATTTTTTATGGAATTTCCTTCTGTTTTGGTCTTTAACCTATTTTGCAATTCATTTTCCACCATTCTATTTTTCTGAATTCTTTGGATTATTAAATTTTTTAAATCGTACCTTGCTACCAACAATGCTAGTTTTTCTATATTATATAAATCTAGCTTCTCTCCTGAACAAATAAAACAAGTTTCTCTAGCTGTACTAATATTCCCTACTCTGTGAAACAGTTATCACAAACACATTAATATGTATCCATTGTGCATGCATATTTGTGTGTTAAAAACTATATAGTATTTTTGAATGTTCTTATTTTATGTGTGTGGATTTTTAGTTTCATGTATTTCTGTGTAACTCGCCATGGTATTAGATAAAGAGGTCAACACTGAAATTTTTTTTCTTAACTGCTTCAAGAAGTCTCAGATACAGTTCTGATGTCTTTGGCCTCCAGAGTTGCTGTTGAAATCATTGTGTTAGTGTTTTCCCTTAAGTATAATCTTTTCCTGTATCCTCTGGGGATTTTTTTCCTTCATCTTTGCAATTCAAGGAAACTGTTTTATCTGAGGTATTTCTCCACATTTAGCCATTGAGAGTTCACCAAGTATTGTGAATCAGTTTTATTAACTAAAAGAATTATGCTGTCCTTTCCTTTGTAATTTTATTTACACATATATTTGGAATTTTGACGGCATTCCCATTTTGCAAAATTAGTTTTATTATTTGCCTATTTTTCTTTTCTCTGTAATTCAGTTTCAACATTTCCTATTTCCCTGTTTTCATGGTCAGTGCTTTTGTTTTCTGTTGCAAGACCCTAAGAACTTTTAACATAAGAAAGTCATTGAACTCTAGATGTTCTACTGACTCCTTCCTGTGTATTCCTATTCTCTGTCTGAAGTAGCTAGGTATTTTGGGTAATATTTTGAAATGTCATTGCTATTTTTAATACTGTTAAGCTCAATATCATATGTAAAGCTTCTGTTTCTAGTGCCTATTTCTCTTGATTATTGGTAATATTTTACTGATTCTTCACATTTATATCTTTTTTTTTCTTGGTTTTACGAAACAGGGTTTCTCTGTATTGTTTTGGAGGCTGTCGGTCCAGCCTGGCCTCGAACTCACAGAGATCCGCCTGCCTCTGCCTCCCGAGTGCTGGGATTAAAGGCGTGCACCACCACCGCCCGACTCACATTTATATCTTAAAATGCATTAAAGAATTTTGTTATAAAAGAATAATGAAAAAGGTCTTTGATGTTACTATATAGTATTTTTAAATGTTCTTATTTTATGTGTGTGGATTTTTAGTTGCATGTATTTCTATGTACTATTTGTGTACCTCTTGCTCATGGAAAACAGCAAAGGTATCAGATGCCCTTGAATACAAGTTACAGATGGTACTGAGTTGTCATGTAGGTGCTAGGAATCCAACCCAGGTCTCCTCCAAGAGTGGTCAGTCTTCTTCACTGCTAAGCTAACACAAAATACCCCACTTTGTTATATTTTTAAAATATCTTTCACCCAAGAAGTTCTGAAAAATTATCTGATCAGGGATTTTTTTGTTTACTTATTTATGTGTTGTTTATGTATGTGTGCATCTGTATGTGCATGTGTGTGTTTATATATGTATGCATATGTGATAAGTGTGTGTTTATGTGTGCTTGTGCATGTGGAAGCCAAAAAACAACCTCTTGCATTGTTTCTCAGGAGCTGCACATCTTTTTTGGTTGTTTTGCCTTTTGGTTTTGTTTTGTTTTGTTTTTTCCTTTGAACAGATTCTATCACTGACCTGGGGCTAGACACATAGACTAAGCTGGACAGTCAGTGAGCCCCAGGAATCCTCCTGCCTGCCTTTGCCTCTCCAGTGTATTACCACCTAAGAACTGAACTAAGTTCCTCACTGAGGTATTTCCCCACCCCTATAATCTCTAGTTTAGGGATATCCTGTTAGAACAGTGGTTTTCAATGTAGGTTGTGACTCACCCTCCCCACCAGTCCAGGAGGTAGCACATCAGGTATCTTGTATATCAGATATTTACCTTACAATTCATAAAAGTAGCAAAATTACAATTGTGAAGTTTATAGTGGAGGGGGGTATTTACCACAATTTGGGAAATTATAACTAAAGGGTCACTGTATTATGGAGGTTGAGAATCACTGTGTGAGAATGACTTGTCAGGATATAAGCAGGGATTTCTCTACTCTAATACTAAATATTTTTACCACAATTACCATTTTACAAAATCAATACACTCTGCTAAAAAAATAATAATTCCCTTTTCTGTATCTGAAACTATTTCAAGTCAGTAAAATAGTTCCTTACTTTTTATCTGAAGGCTAGTGTATATCAAATTATACAGTACACAGATGTCTAATGTGTTTACTGAGTGAACTAAAAAATGGGCAAATAGTAGCCAACACAAATAGCTTAACCATGTCAATACAGTATATGACACTCAAAGTAAAACGTGTGAAATGATAAGAATTTACATTTCCATATGCTGTGAGGACTCCCATGTTTAATTCATAAAGAGTCATTTGCAAGCTAGACACGGGGATGTATACCTATAGTTTCAAATACTTGAAAGGCTGAGGTATAAAAAGTCGTTGACACAAACGGTTCAAAGCTACTCAGTACAACAGTAACACCTTGCCTTAAAAATGTGTTTTTGAAAACAAGATTATTTCTTACCGGCTCTTTTCAGACCTACATGATGAGTCAGTGACACAGATGATGACCTCTGCTTTGGAACTGTCAGGAGACTTGAGCCAAAAGGCCCATTTAGGTGGCATCCATGACTAATACAAGGAAAAAATTAAGACTTTTTAGTTCATAAAAAGTTCCTCTTGGCAAACCAATTAGCCAATTTGTACTTCTACATTCAGACATAAGAAGACTTCTGCCCAAGCCCTAGAGGAGATCCGGCAAAGCTTTTCTATTAAGAGAGCAAAATAACAAATGCTTCTGACTTTTCATTTCGTGTCTGTGATGCAACTTCTCAATCCTGCCACAGTAGAAAAGAAGCACCCACGAATACTATAAACTAGCATGGGTAAGTTCCCACAAAATGCTGTCCACAAAACATCATGGAACAGATTAGGCACAGCAGGTGTAGCACCTGGAAGGTCTCTTGAAACAGACTCTAATCTCATCCCCACATTTCCAATTGTAAGTCAGGTAGGTCAGGTAAGTCAAGGTAACATGGTTTTCTAATTAGGTTTTAGATGATGTAGGTTTGCTAATCCAGGGCCCTCACTGAGAACCACTGACCTAAAGTAAAGCTTTTCCTTATTTTCTGTTCCCCTTTCTCTAAAACACTATCATTAATCTAGTCATTTTACAGAGCTGAAATAGTTATTATAAGTTCTAGTGTTTTCCCCAAGATTAATAGGGTTAATACACTATCCATATTTAATCATAGCACTCTAAGATACAAAGTATATGAAACACATAATGCTACATCTTCCCTTCTTTATATATCTTTATACTTATTTTTTATTTTTATTTTTAAATTAAATTAGAAAAAAGGTTGCTTCACAGCTGGGCGGTGGTGGCGCACGCGTTTAATCCCAGCACTCGGGAGGCAGAGGCAGGCGGATCTCTGTGAGTTCGAGACCAGGCTGGACCGACAGCCTCCAAAACAATACAGTGAAACCCTGTCTCATAAAGACCAAAAAAAAAAGAAACAAGGTTGCTTCACATATCAATTCCAGGTCCCTCTCCCTTTCCCTCTCCTCCTCCCACGCTCTCCCACCAACACCTCAAATACTCCCTTCATTTTCCCAGGGAGGGTGAGGCCCTCCATGGGGGTATGTATCCATAGTCTGTCATTTCATCCAGGGCAGGGCCTAGACCCTCTCCTGGGAATCCAGGGTGAGAGTGCATCTCTCACTGTTGGATGGGCGCCCAAAGTCCATTTGTATACCCGGGATAAATACTGATCTACTACCCAAGGCCCAATAGATTACCTAGGCCTCCTCACTGACACCCACACTCAGGGGGTCTTGATCAGTCCCATGCTGGAATCCCAGCCATCAGTCTGGTATTCAAGAGCTGATTCAGGTCAGCTGTTTCTGGGGGTTAAACCAGCCTAGTCTTAACCCCCTTGCTCATCAGTCCTCCCTCTTTGTCACTGGATTCCTTGAGTCCAGCTCAGTGTTTAGCTGTGGCAGTCTGCCTCTGCTTCCATCAGCTATTGAATGAAGGTTCTGTTTCCCAGACTCTCTGGCCATAGGATTGTAAGCTGGCACTCCCCAGATCTATGTCTAAAATCCATATATGAGAGAGTACATGCCATGTTTCTCTTTTTGTGACTGCGTTACCTCACTCAGGATGGTTTCTTCTAGTGCCATCCATTTGCCTGGGAATTTCAAGATTCCATTGTTTTTTTTCTTCTGAATAGTACTCCATTGTGTAAATGTACCACATTTTCTCTATCCACTCTTCAATTGAGGGGCATCTAGGTTTCTTCCAAGTTCTGGCTATTACAAATAATGTTGCTATGAACATAGTGGAACAGATATCCTTGTTGTATAAATGTGAATCTTTTGGGTATATACCTAAGAGTGGAGTTGCTGGGTCTTGAGATAGGTTCATTCCCATTTTTCTGAGGAATCTCCATACTGATTTCCAAAGTGGCTGTATGAGTTGGCACTCCCACCATCATTGGAGGAGTGTTCCCCTTTCACCACAACCTCTCCAGCATAAATTGTCTTCAGTGTTTTTTTGTTTTTTTTTTTTTGTTTTTCAAGACAGGGTTTCTCTGTATTGTTTTTGGAGACTGTCCTGGAACTCGCTTTGTAGACCAGGCTGGCCTCAAACTCACAGAGATCCGCCTGCCTCTGCCTCCCGAGTGCTGGGATTAAAGGCGTGCGCCACCAACGCCCAGCGTCTTCAGTGTTTTTGATGTTAGCCATTCTGACAGGAGTAAGATGGTATCTCAGAGTTGTTTTTATTTGCATTTCCTGGATGGCTAAGGATGTTGAGCACTTTCTCAAGTGCCTCTCAGCCATTTTAGACTCCTCTATTGAGAATTCTCTACTTAGTTCTGTAGCCTTTGGTGTTTTGGAGACTTGCTTCTTCAGTTCCTTGTAAATTTTGGAGATCAATCCTCTGTCTGATGTGGGGTTAGTGAATATCTTTTCCCATTCTGTGGGCTGCCTTTTTGACTTGCTGACTGTGTCCTTTGCCTTACTCTAAGAGGTTCAGTAATACTTATAATGTCTATATATTTGCTGGCGTACTTATATTATTGGTTGACTCCAGATGTGACCTCAAATGACATAATCAATACCACTTCTGTAAGACATTTATTTTTATTTATTTATTTATTTATTGGTTTTTACGAGACAGGGTTTCTCTGTATTGTTTTGGAGGCTGTCAGTCCAGCCCGGCCTCAAACTCACAGAGATGCCTGCCTCTGCCTCCCAAGTGCTAGGATTAAAGGCGTGTGCCACCACCGCCCGGCTTCTGTAAGACATTTATTTAGCAGCCATTTTTCTTCATAGTTACAAGTATAACAAATTCTTCACAGCAATTGAACAGGCCTCAGGACTACATCCTCAGTCTACTCTTTCAATTTTTATTGATGTAGGCTCAGTTCTCAGTAAGTTCCTCCCTAGCTCCTAACATCCTTTCTGCTCAAACTCCCTTTACTCAACAAAAAGTTAGTTTTGACCTCAGGGGTATTTATTCATATTTCTATCACAAACAGTCCCATGTTGTTCATAACTTTAATACTTACAGATTTTTTGAATGTTTATGTAGTATGAGGGCATTTCTATATGAACATTCATATGTATGCAGACACATGTATGTGTCCATAGGCAGGTACACATGAATGTGTATAAGTATGCATGAGGAGGCTTGAGGCTGATATAGGGAATCATCATTGATTGCTCTCAAACTTATTCAGTTTTACAATAGAGCCCTGATAGGGCTAGTCTAGCTAAACAGCTTGATCCAGAGATAACTTGTCTCTGCGTTCTGAGTGCTGAAATAAGTAGGCAGCCAATCTAGCATTATATAGGTGCTAGAAATCCAAATTCAGGCCCTTACACTCGAATAACAAGCAGTTTATTCACTGAGCCATTACTCAGTCCCTAGAGTTTCTCCCTTGATTTGTGAGTTCCTTTTGGGTCTGTGTCTTTCTCATATCCACATTCACTGCAGATATGGCACAATCCTTGATAGAAGTGTTCAAAAGATTTTGGAGGGCAATTAAATAATAGACTCTTTACATTTCTACTTTACAGCAAATAACAGATATCGTCTACTCTGAAATGTTGAGTCAGTGCTTTTTCTTCACAGAATCAACACTATTATCCAACATGGATGACATACCCATATAGGACGGCTGTTAAACAGTCATCTGTTTTCAAATATGTTAGTGTAATCACAAACCCTTCACTGGAACTGAAAACTTCAGTAATAATGGGTGAGAATGACTAGAAAGTGAAAAGTCTCATAAAATAGGGAGAAAAAAATGTGTTAGGGAAATTACAAGCTGAACCAATTACTTCTCCTTAATGCACAAAGCCATTTTTTCTCAGGTGATAGCATTTGTTGATAATTCAGTTATTTGGAAATTAACTGCTTATTAGAAAGTTTCAGGAAGTCTAAAGCAAGTTGCATGTTTTTGTTTTTATATAGGGAGTTTATATTATTTTTAATGCTCTCTTTTTTTAATCAGAAACATTTTTGTTGTTTCTGTTCTTTTCTTCAGCATAAGAATTAACCCAGTGCCTCCTGTTACTCTAGTTCTTTGAAAGACTGTCCCACCGATTTCTACCATTTCCAAGTAAGGATGCAGATCTGTCATAAGACAACAACAGATTGTCAACTTCTAGACTAAGAGTTTAAGAATCATTCTATAGGAATCAGCAAGGGATCCCGAGACTTAATGATGAGAAAACCATACAAACAAAGTTTTGCTTAAGGAAGATGGAACAATTGGTGAAGGACACTAAAACTGTCTATAAGAGGCTAATTCAATAGTCCAAGAGAGCTGCAGCAAAACTATGAAATAGTGATAAAGGAGAAGATGAAATAGAGGACAACTTTACAGAGATAATGCCTATCTATAAAATGAAGTAGAGGGTACAAAGATAACAAGTATACTAGTAAATTAATTTTGTAAACAACCACTAAGCCAGGGAATGATAGAATTAGGCCAAAAACAAAGACCAAACAATGATAACAATTTTTTAAAAGGACAGCTGAGGGATGAAAACTATGGCTTCAGTTATATCCAGAAATGTTTACAACTATAATCAAGTTAATTTATAGTCAGGAAAGCTATAATCAGACACAAAGCTGAGTTTAAATTAAGGCCCAAAAACCCAGAATGAGAGACTATAACAATATCATAGTGAATACAGAGCTATTATTAAAACCCTAAAGATTCCTGGATAAAAGTATCACTGGCATTAATCGATATCACATAGTGTATGTGTAGATAATGGTCACATGACTTTGAATTAAATTCTCTATAATCTAATTAAAACTCAATTATTTAGTCATACTAGACACAGTCCACATGTTCAATATTCACAGGTAGCTGAGGGCCTCAATTTAGACAGTGCAGATAGAAAACATTTGTTTCTGCATAAATTTATTTTGTATAGCATGTGTCTGGAGAATTGAAAAGAGTGGTGGTTGCTGATGTGTTACATATTCCTGACGGTCTTAGTTACAACTTTGTTGTTGTGATAAAACACTACAGCCAAATTGACTTGGGGAAGAAAGAGTTTATTTCAGCTTATAACTGTCAGATCACATTACATTACTGATGGAAGGGCAAGAACTCAAGGCAGGAGTCTGAAGGCAGAGGCCATAAGGAGTGCTTGTTTCTCACTGTTGGCTCAGACTACTTTCTTATAGAACCTAGAACCACCAACCAGCTCAGGGTTGCACCATCCAGTGACCTAGGCCCTCCCACATTGACCACTAATCAAAATGCCCCATTAATCTGCCTAAAATGACTAATGGAGGTATTTTCTCAACTGAGGTTTCTCTTCCTAGATGACCCTGGCTTGTGTTGAGTTTATATAAAATGAGCCAACACACTATTTTATCCCAACTATGTATAACGTACATTTGGAAATTTGCTGAGAAACTCCAGCTTCTGCATACAAGAAAAATTCTATTCAGCCTTTAAGGTATGTGTCTCTTTAAAGAAGACACACTTAAGACCAATTACTTTTTTGGACAAATTTCTAAATCTTTATTTGAATAAGTTTACTGAATCCAGAGAATCTACCTACATCGTGAACAGTTAACTGAGATTTCTCTAAACTATATTTCCCTTTTAAAAATGACTTGAATTTAATGTCAAACATTTTTAACTAAAAATATATTGCTGTAATGCAAATGTGAAGTGTGAAACAAAGTCCCAGTATTTTGTTCTTTTTAAAAAATTTTTAAAAAATTTTTATTTATTTATATTTTATGTATGAGTGCTATGCATGTATGCCAAAAGAGGGTTTCAGATCCTATTATAAATGGTTGTGAACCACAATGCTGTTGCTAGGAATTGAACTCAGGACCTCTGGAAGAGCAGCCTCCAACCCCCATTTTCTTGCTTTTTAAGCCCAGTAGTATTTCCAAGATTATGATTCCTTCCTATGGCAAAGAAACCTAATCTCCAGTTCACTTCCCATTTCCTATTTCCCATTTCCCCACATCATAATTACATTTTAAAAAATAAAATAAAAAATATCATGCTTAAGATAAAATTTTTACTGTTTCTCATTCTTCTGTATTACAAATTATTCATAATTCAATATATTGTTCATAATACTATACTGTTCAGTATACTCTATACTAAAGTTTTATGAGAAAGAAATGAGCTTAATTAAATAATATAAAATTCAAATTAAAAAGCCACAGCCGGGCGGTTGTGGCACACACCTTTAATCCCAGCACTCAGGAGGCAGAGGCAGGCAGATCGCTGTGAGTTCGAGGCTGGGCTGGACCGACAGCCTCGAAAACAATACAGAGAAACCCTGTCTCATTAAAAAAAAAGCCACAAAAGAATGTAGAAATTATAATTATCTGAGTGTGTTTCCCATATAAATCTTAACATAGATTTTTAAACATATGAACAGCTATGTTCCAATCCTGCCATCTACTGTTTCAAATGTGTAACTGTACACAGTTCCAACTAAAAGTTTAGCTTGACACCTGCTCAGTAGTAAGATAGTAGCTTAACATGGAATTCCCGTTCATTACAATTCTACTAACCTGGGTAACTGACTAAAAACAAATTTCTACCCACACAAGAGATCCACATCTTTCATGGCTTTCAAAAGATGAAGTATTAAATCCTTTGTTTTCAGGCAAATGGTATTTATTAATAGTCATAAAATATTAGTTCCTGTATTTTCCCAGTCTCACTTAATTGTGATTTCTTATTTAGCAGTGTTTCGTTTCAAGCCAGTTCTGGAGAGAGTATATAATATGACGAAGTCTCAGCTTAAGTAAGAACAGGTTTGGCACATTCTTGCTACATTACACTAGCAACTGCAAAGCATCTGAGGAATATTCTTTTTTTTTTTTTTCCAAGTCAGTAAGTGTGGAATAATCAACCCTGGACCCCTACACAATGGATCTGTGACTGCCTCTACAAACTGGAATGTCATCCCAACATAAAAGTAGAAACCTTGCCAGGCACATAGCATAGTTCTTGGTTTACGTCTCCAGAGAAGAGGATGAAGGGTCCAGGAACACAACATGCTAAATTGATTTTGGTATTCCTAAGCAAGTATTTTTCAACCTGTGATCTGCAACCCGTTTGTGGAATAGAATAATACAATAACCTTATCACAGGGGTCGTATAAGACCATCATGAAACACAGATGTTTTTGTTACAATTCATAACAGTAGCAAAATTACAGTTATAAAGTAGCAACAAAAATCATTTTATGGTTGGAGGTTACCTTAACATGAGGAACCATATTAAAGGTTGCAGCATGAGGAAGATTGAGAATCACTGTCTCAGCATGGACATGTTTTTTGTTTGTTTGTTTGTTTTTTAAGGTTCCAGCATTCTCTGTAACCAGCTGATCCTATCTTCTTTTTAAGAATCAGTCTCTTGATTATAAGCTAAAGGTAGGCTAACCAGACTTAATAAAAACAAGGCCTAACCAAAAATAGTCTGTTCCCACCGTGCATCTGATGTCATGCCCCACATCTGAACACCCCAAATAAAGACAGAAAAGGGAGTAAGCCTATTCCAAAGAAAATTCCAACCATACCTGGAATTCCCTGATTTTTTTCTCTTTGGAACAATACCTTAAACAATACTTTCCTCCAGCAAAGTTTGCCTATCAAGCTGACCAAAATCCTACTGTGCTGCTCTCTTTTTAGAAGCCTGAATTCATCCCTTGAGTAGTATTTCTCTACCTTATAATTAACTTTGAATCCTTACTTTAATCTCATCTTTCCATTTTTTCTTTGACACAGACAAGAACTGAAACACTAGCTTGAGGTCTCAATACAGTTTCTACCTTTAGGACCACATCAGGAGACACCACCTTTAAGAATTTCTACCTATGTTATCCAAAACTCCTGCAACAATTATTTCTTGATTTTAAAACTATTTCAAAGAGATGCTTTAAAGGCTCCCAGAGGTTTAAAGGCTCTCAGAACTTTACCTGGAAAGGCCTAGCTCCTGGTGAGGCCTTTTGCCACTGCTACGCTCCCACCTTGAGTGGTGCTCTTTAGCCAGCAATGCTGATGCTCCCGAGCTCCTCCTCAGTTGTGCAGTCGGGAAACCGTTTCTACTACTCAGTCCCTGCCAAGTAATTTCAAAATGGGTGAATTATCATCCTTTAATGTACCATATACAAGGGCAAATGAAACTATCAATATAACACGCACAGGTAACACAACATTTCACTTCTACTTCTACCTTCCAATTTCTACACTGTTGTCCTATTTGTTTTTCCTTAATAAAAAAGCTTCTGAATGACTTGAACTACACATTTTACTCACAGTTTTAAGAGAAAGAAAAGTTGGAGCTTAAAAATGGGTATGGAAGGTTAACACTAAAAATCAACTTCAAAGGACAAATTTAGGACCCACAATGACCACCATTTTTTATATTTTCAGCAAAAGGTATCCAAAGTACACGACAGCTGATGTGGAAAAGTTCCAGGGTTCTTGGTTACTTTTTAAATTAATGATTAATTAAGTACAGAATATGTCAAACACTATTTTACTGCAATTTTTTGGTAAATTCTCAATTGATCTAAATGCTCAATTAAAGGAAATAATACTTTTCTTAGACCACTGAAAATAACTGTCCCTGAGACATACCTAATATAATATCTGCTTTGTAAATTTTCCTCACTAGCAGACACTTCAGCAATATCCTTTCTGATTAGAATATTTTCTGTTTTTCTTTTTAGACTTTTGGGGCAAAGTCTTGTTATGCAGATTACTCTCCTAGATGATACCTCCCAAGTGCTGCAGTTACAAGGGCAGCATGGCTGGACTTTAAAGAATTGCTGTCTTTAAAAATTTCCATCTTAAGGCTGGAGAGATAGCTCAGTAGTTAAGAGCACTGACTGCTCTTCCAGAGGATCTAGGTTCAATTCCCAGCACCCAGGGGATCCAACACCCTCACACAGACACATATGCAGGTAAAACACCAATGTACATAAAAAATAAATTATTTAAAAAAATCACTATCTTAGATCAATATATGTCAGTGGGAAATGAAAAAGAAAAATATATTGGTGAAAACTCAAGAATATCTTAGAATCATTTTATAAATTACTGACTATCATCACTTTTGGGTGCTTGTGATTATGTGGTGTACTAAAAAAGCAACATGAATCAATACCACTGTTGAGTGAGCTCTAATGGATACCACACTATTTAGTAAACTTTTTAAGAGTAAAAACATAAACTATCTATGACCTAGATGATCAAGAGTTTTCAAGTCACTAAATTTTTCAACATTTCTAAACTCTATGCTAAGACCTGAGATAATTAAATCAACTGATCCAAAGCCCTTAAAAATCCTGTATTTTCCCTTTCTAGGTTCTATATAACTAGTACAATTTGACAAAATTAACTTACTTGAATTTTATTTTTTCCTTGGTAAGTCCCTAGCTGTAGAATCAGTTGAACTAATAGAATCCTTAAACTATTTCTACTTTTACAGCCTTATTATTTTAGCTATTAATAAAGATGTTACAATACAGTGACAGGTAACAGCACTATGAACAAGCATAAATAAAATATACCAAGTTAGTATGTTCTGTATGTATTAGTGTCTAAAGAAATCTTATTTTTTAAGTACCAACACAAAATTAGTCCCATATCTAATTATGGAAAAACCAGTGCCCACTGAGCTATAAAAAATGTCAGTGAGTTTTAAATCTGTTAAATACATTAAGTAATAATAATATATTGCTATAATGGTCAGTTATTCTTGGCTCAACAAGTGTAATTCCTGGACTCTTAAAAAAGAAGAGATTAATGGTGTGATCTACTAGTTACATAAATCTGGAACTAAGTTCCTTGGTGCTTTCTACTTCTTACTACAATAATGCCAAATAGTTCTTAGCATAAAAATTGTAACTGCTAAGTACAGAAGTGTTATTTAAAAGAAAAATTGCTAGAAGCATAACGTTTGCTCAGCATATGTAAGGCCCTTGGTTTAATCCCAAGCACTGTGAAGAAATTAATGAAAAATAAGTATAGAATTACTTTCATTTGTAACTCTCTGTAAAGCCACAGCAGCATGATATAATATAAAAGAAGCCAATACTTCGAAAGGAAAGTACATCATAAAACATTTAGAGGAATGTTTTTAATGAAAATGAATCATAAAATGAGATACATAAGGCTGGCTGATTACTATATTTTAACCTTGTGAAGTTTTCGATCTCCTTTCTCTACTGGATCTTCCACTTCAGAGCAGGGATAAAATCCAGGAAATGGTGTGAGAGGATTAATCTTTGGCCTACAGGAACCTGAGAAAGCACCCATTAAACTACTGATACTCCGCAGAGAAGAAATGACTTGTGGGGGAAGGCTTGGGTCAATCAGAAGATCTGACACCATATTGCGAGCTTCATTTAGCACTGAGAGATCAACTCCATTTCCACTTCCAGAATTCTAGAAAACAAAAAGGTAAAATTATGTATTTGATATGCAGCAAGTTTAACATTAAAAAAATAGTCTGATTTAAACTACAATACTTAAATAATATAATACTGTAATCCTGTTAATTACAAAATTTTAATCATGTGGACCTGGCATGAATAATATAATAACAGAATTCTAAGAGTGTGTGTGTGTGTGTGTGTGTGTGTGTGTGTGTGTGTGTATGTGTGTGTAACAGATACTATAAGCTTCAGCATTTCCATTTTTGGTATTTTATTTGTAATCTGGTTTTATTTTCTTTAACCTATTTCATGATAAATATCATTCATTACTTCATAACTAGCATACAACAAAGTATGTACTTATTTTGAAGCCTACAATCCTGCTACTTCAATAATTTCTTGATGACTTCCTTTACTTCATGGCAAAACTTAGGAGCATGGAAAGCCATTCTTTTATAACCTTACTTAAGAAACAGCATCATGACAGACATGTGCTACAAAGGTTCCCAGTTTCTAGACTTGAAACCTGCAACCTTGAACAAGCTATTTAATGTCTGAATGTTTTAGCTTTTTTTTTTTTTTTTTTTTTTTTGGTTTTTCAAAACAGGGATTCTCTGTATTGTTTTGGAGGCTGTGCTGGAACTCACTCTGTAGACCAGGCTGGCCTCAAACTCACAGAGACCTGCCTGTCTCTGCCTCCCGAGTGCTGGGACTAAAAGCATGTGCCACCAACACCCGGCCTGTTTTAGCTTTTTTAAAGGTTAAAAAAAAGAAGATAACATCTAGGCTGATTTGAAGATAAACCTGATTAATACATGTAGAACATATAAAACAAGGATAATGCACACACTTAAAAGAGTATCAGCATTATTATGAAAAATATGGATAAAAGTACAAAAAAATGGTATGAGGATTCAAAACAAGTGGCAAGTTTGAGCTGAACAATTAAGACAAAATGTATGAATGGCATAGTTGGAACTAGAAACCAAAACTTTGGTGAAATTCTATTTACAATTGTTAAGAACATTATATCCTAAGTTATTTGTCAGTGAAAGGTCATGTAGACTTTGAGTATCATAAAAAGGACAAAATGAGAAGACAGAGAAAAGTGAACAAAGGCTAATTGGAGCTAATACAATTTTAGAGGATAGCCACTGTCATTGTTCACTTAGAAGGCATATGTATATCAGGACCTGACAGAAGTATACAAAAGAAGTATTTGGTGCAGAGAGTCTAGTACACACAAAGAATAGCAGCAGAAGTCAGGCTGGCCTGTCTGAGCCAGAGCATGGACACCAGGACAATTAATGATGAAGAAAAATTAATGATGAAGGGGGTAGTCGATGAGTCAGAGAGCCAAAAATAAAAAGGATTTCACTGAGGTGTGTGAACTCATTTAAGTCTATGACAAGGTCTTGCTCTTTAATTCTAGGCGAGACAGAGGAGTGGTGAGCAATGCAGCAACATGACTCAACATAGAATTAAGTTAAATATTCAAATAATTTGATAACTTTTAACATTGAACATGATTCCATTTCTCATTGTCTTACATTGAGTAAAATTCCTGAGTTTGTACAGAAAGTTAGCCATTGTTTGTGCATCTTAAATGTTATTAAAGGAGAGGCAGATGGAGAGAAAGAGACAGAAAGAGAGGGGAAGAAGGAAGCAAGGAGAACCTGCAACTGGGGCAATGGTGGTGATTGTATTTGGTCCTTAAATAACAAACAATCTCTGGTAATTCATATACTATAATTTCAGAGATGCTTAATAGTGTTATTGAAATTAACATAACATGAGCTCATATTTTTATCTAGTTCTACTATATAGCACATCGTATTTAAACCAGTTGAGTGAGGAAACCAGTATGGATCTCAAATTACTTTCAATAAGACAGACTAGATGGCATCAGATCAACTCTAGCCTAAAACAAGAAAAGCTGAATTAAATACTATAGCATACATTCAAGGCAACACAGCGCAACCAAGTATTTAGGGCATGAAAGGTCAAGGACTCATAGCTAAGAAAGAAGATAGAAATGAACTCAAAAGAAGCAGCCTTCTCTTCCATTCTCTTTGGACTGGGCAGCAGAAGCAAGATGAAGAAAGAAACATCATCCTTCGGGAAACAGTGCAATAAGATGCACACACTGTGCTGCTGCTGTGGCTCTCAGGCTTACCACCTTCAGAAGCAGACCTGTGGTAAATGTGGCTACCCTGCTAAGTCAAGAGAAAATATAACTGGATTTAGACCATGCCAAGGCTAAGAGACAAAACACTACCAGAGCTGGGCAGATGAGACAACTCAGAATTATCTATTGCAGATTCAGACATGAATTGTGTGAAGGCACACCTAAACCTAAGAGGGCAACGGCTGCAGCACCCAGTTCATCTTGAGGATTTCAGTCATAAAATAAATGTTTTGGTTTCAAAAAAAAAAGAACAGGGAGAGACGGTAAGAGGGAGAGAAGGAGGAAGGGAGAGAGGGAAGGAAGAATGGAAGCAGGGAGGGAGAGGGAGAGAGAGAGAGAACTCAAAAGTCTAAATGGCTCACTATGATTTGCTTGCTGTTCTTCCCGGGGGTCTGATTTGGCTACCAAGCAATGGCTATGGAGCACCTATACAGCAACCCCCTGTAACTCTAAGCTCCTGTGGCCTCTGAGCTCAGTCACAGTCACATACATATACACCATATACACTTTTTTTAAAAAAAATCTGTGCTGTTCTTTCTCAGTCAAGGAATTTGCTAGTGATTCATAATTGGCACAAGACAGAAAGGATAGGAGGCAGAGCACTCACAGGAAGCAGACAAGGCCTTTATCCAGTATCATGTATGAATGGCATAGTCTGGGAAAACAAATTCAGATTTCAAGCAAGGTTTAAAGGACAGTAAGATTCTATGAAGGCAGGACTTAAAAAGCTAAGTAAAATCCTAACAGAAGAAAATAAGGAAACAAGCTTAAACTAAAAACTGCATTTCAGGGCAATGGTGTCGCATGCATTTGATCCCAGCACTCAGAAGGGAGGCAGAGGGAGAGGCAGGTGGATCTCTGTGAGTCTGAGGCACCCTGGTCTACAGAGTGCATTCCAGGTCTTCCAGGGCTTTTATATAGAGGAACCCTATCTTGAACCATGCCCCCTCCAAAGAAAGAACTGCTTTTCTACAGAAGACATTTGCCCATTTACAAACAGTAGCCAATAAAAAAAATTGAAAAACAAAGCAGAAATCCTCAAAAAATATTTCTATTTTGGTAGAGCATTCTAATTAGAATTGGGTCAAGTGTGTATCTTTAAAAAAAAAAGTATCTCAGGTCAGTGAAATCCCTAAACTACTCATGGTGGAAGGAGAAAGCCAACTCTCTAACATTCACATGCCTCTCCCAACCCAAATAAATTAATGTAATACAATAATTTAAGGCATCTTAAGCTATAGGACACACATATAAAAAGTCAAAATTATCCAAACTAAGAAATTAATAATAAATGTACTACAGATATAAAGGTTTAAATTTTAACAAGCAATCACCTAGAAGGTAGCATGGAAGAAAATTTTCTTCATAACTCTTGGGGTAGAATTCTTCAGTATATCTCAGATGTACATATAGTTCAGATATGTATATGAACTATACATACATGATCATGTACATATGTGCTCATGTCCAAAATAAATATAAAGAATTCTCACTGATTGTTAAATTAAAGATGAAATGAAACATTTACAAAAGGTTTCACCAACGGATATCTAATTAACATAAGAAATAGCCCTCAACCTGATGAGTTATCAATAAGAGCATTACACAGTTATGTATTTGCTATCAAATGTTTATAGGGCTACAAAGCTATTAGAACACTTATACACTGCTGGTTGTTAAGTAAAATGAACACAAACTCTGGAAAATTGTCTGGCACTATCAATAGAAAGTGAACATTTATATGTATATGCAAGCAATTCACTACAAGTTACATAACCAACAAAAAGGCTGTTCTAGCAGTATTACTAGCCAAAAAACTGAGCATAAAACAATAATGGAGCAAAACAATGCAATCGATAAATACATTGTATTATATTCATTCAATGGAATAAATGGAAATAAACAGGCTACTGCTATATCCAATACTAATTAATCTCACAGTCAACTTAATAGAAAAAGTACAATGCTTCCATTTTTCAAAGATAAAAAAGCTAGAGTGAAACAGCAGAATTCAGGATGGACATTACTCCAGACAGAAGCTGAATAACTAGGAAGAGAGCCAAAAAAGGGATAGGGAATGTTAATTTTTCAGTGTGAGAAAATACATCAAGTTGTACATTTATGAGCTGTGTACTTTTATAGATGAATTCTATGCTTTGATAAGGTTTGTTAGAAAATTAAAGGACTTTTGCATGTTCCTCAGCTATCAGATTGAGATAGACTCCCTGAATACAGGTGATGATGGTACAGCTAGGACAATATATGAGGCCACCAGCAGTGGGTTCAAGATCTGACACTAATCTACAAACTGACTTAGTGGAGCCCATTTTATATGGGGAGGTACCTTGCTCAGCCTAAGTGAGTGTGTGTGGGGGGGGGTTGACCTGCCTCAATGAGGTGATGGGACAGACTTAATAGACTTCTTAGGGGAGGCCTTACCATCTCAGAGGAACAGAATGGAGGTGGGGGAGTGGGAGGACAGGAGAGAGCGGGAACTGGGATTGGAATGTAAAAAATAAATTATTAAATCTGAAAAAAAGAAGAGGAAAAAGCAAAAAGGGCAGAGATACCTAGTATCATATATTAGCCTGAAAAGTCCATAGTTCTGACCATTACTGCTTATTTGTCTTTAGATTTTGCCAGTAATTCAGATTCTCTTTTAACTAGAAACTGAGGATCTTTGTGAACATGAATGATGATAAAGTCAATCAGGTGTGTCTACAGCTTGGTTTTATCTGATTACCAATGTCCTGAGGGCATGTCCATCCTAGGGGTTGTTGTGGCAATTGTACACAGTTTGAAAATAAAAGGTGAGGCTAGAGTGATGATTTGGCAGTTAAAAGCACTTGATGCTCTTCCAGAGGACCTGGTTTCAGTTCCCATTACCCACAAGGTGGCTCACAACCATCTGCAACTCCAGACACCCTCCTCTTACCTTTGGGAGCACTGCATGCACAGGCATACCTACAGTCACAATGCGAAACATAATAAAGTAAACTAGAAACATTTAAATACAAAATAAAAATCAGCCACTCAAAGGGGCATTCATTTTTTTCAAAAGTTGGTTTTGAGACAACTAGTGAAATAAAGCTAAGAGAACGACAATATTCCTGTAACATAAATACTTAAGGTTTCTCTATTACTGTAAAAACATATTTCAAATGCCATATGAAATAATCAGTTTAAGAGTAGACTATACATGTATACATTTATAATTCAAAAGGAACTACCAAAATAAAAATTAGCAATTATGACAATATATAAGATTCATATTGTTTTTTAAAATTATTTTCTCTTTCTCCTTACAGTCCTATTCTGATTTTTCTGGTACTGATATATAATGTTTAGGTGAACAAAAATGATATTAAAGTATGCATTATTCCCTTTCCATTTATGCATGCATATATGAAATGTGAAAATAAGAAAAACTGGACAGGGATTCTCTCTGGGGAAACAGTGGTGTAAGTGAGGCTCTGAGGTCATAGTATTGTCTCTTTCTTCACATGGGTACTAGTTTCACAGAAGTGAAAATTCACTGAGTTGTACAGTTTCTGTACATATATTAAAAATCAATAAGAAATATTTCAGAAAATGGAAGCAGAGCAGTTTTACTTCCCTAATAAAATGTTTTGCCAGTTGATTTAGTCTTTCATACATGGCCTAAAGTCTCTTTCTCTCCCTCTGTACATCACTATCCCATACCAGAAAAAGGAAAATTTAAAAACCTCAGCCTTAGTATAAAGAAAACAGTTTATTTTGAGCCATGATTATATTAGAAGTACTTTTAAAACAACTACTTTGCTTATTATTTTATTTTTCATTTATATTTAATAAACGTTTAATAAACTTCTTACCATGAAGATTTGGGTTAACTTAGCTCAGATAAAGAACAATTTTTTTATACAGAAGTCCTATGAGTGAACGTTACCTAAAGGACAGGTAATTTGAAAAGACATCAGTGCCATTTGTGCTTACCTGGTAATGAGGTTTACTCCACTGCTTCAAGTCCCAGTCCCAAAGAATCATCTGTAAAAGAGCACTGAGTTACAAGCTGTGAACAAACACACACAAAGAAAACATGCACCCTCTTCCACTGAAGACGCCCACAACAGCTTAAACCTCAGAAAGGGAGTTGGGGAGATGAGAATAAACATAATCTCTTTATAGATTACTTCATCAATTCATATAATCTATAACTGAGTAAACCAAAGGGAAAAGCACTATAGTGACTTATATTAACCTTCAAATATTTATTATGGGCTGGAAAGATGGCTCAACAATTAATAGCACTTACTGCTGTCACAGATGGCCCAAGTTCAAATCCCAGCACCCACAAAGGTTGGCTTAAAACTGCCTGTAACTCCAATTCTAGGCGATCCAATGTCCCTTTGGGGACTCACAGGCATTGCATGCACATGGCACACACAGAGACAAATACATTCATACAAGTAGATTTAATTTTTAAGCATAAAAATATCACGAAAAACGGAAAAACAGATCCAAAATCATGTCAGCAGATGCCCCTCGCAAAGAGTCATCATCATCATCTTAAATTGGTGTCTATGGAGTTATTTCCTTATTAATAAGGCACTCCCATGGACAAAATTCCAGAAATGCTTGTCCCCTAGGCTAAATTACACTTAAAGAAATGCTTTACAAGTACCAAAGTACACTCCTTTCAATACATAAGTAAGTAATGACTGCTTTTGTTTCTTTCTACTGGTCAGCCCAGCCTTGCTTTCTGTGCCCTTTTTGTAGACTGCTTCCTGGTTACCTGCTTGTGTAGTACAGCAGTCGCTACATTCAACAAAACAGTTAACTTGAATTTAGTAAGCTATCACAGACATGACCCTCTAACTACCTAAATTTCTATGAACTGTTTTGAGTTAAAGAATATATCTCTTCTTTTTGCTTAACTAATTCCTTATAATTGTTATTTTCTACAAGGCTTTGAACACTAATATTCAATGGGTCTACTACACTTTTAATAAAAATTCTAAACTTTTCTATATACTTCACTATTTATGTTGGTTCTTGCCCGTGTGGGCTTAAGTCTTTAGCTGCAAAAAAATTTTTTAAAGGCTTGTTTTATTTTAATGACTGATTGATGTTATATATCACTGAGGCCACTATATGCAGACAAGAGAGGGAAGCTATGAGAGGGAAACTTTATTTCTTGATCTTGTCCTCTTTAAATGTAATTTTAAAATTGTTTTTGAATTTATAATATACTTCTACCACATATTCCCCTCTTTCATTCAAATTCATGGCCACTTTTTCTTTGCTGTTGTATGTGGTATGTGTGGCATGGACTGGGTGTGAAAATTTGCTTTTACTGTTGTTGTGGTGGTGGTCATCGTCATTGCTTTATGGTTGTTTTAAAATATCCTGTGCAGGCTATGGTACTTGCAGTGGTCAAATTTAAGTTCACAGTATCTCCTGAGAAACCAGTGCAGGAACCACATTCCTTCTTTATCCAAGTAACCCCACAGGCACTCAAGAATAGGCAGCACCTTTCCCTATGCCCACACGAACACATGCCCTTTCTCCAGGCAATGTGTGTTTTCCTGGCATAAAGCCCAGAAATGGACAGTCACAGGCTTACAGATGTTCAGCCCATCTTTGATCAGCTTCCAGATCGACTGGTAGGACTGGGCAGTGACAATTTCATTGGTCTCACTGGTTCCAACCAGACCTCCTTTCTACCTCGGCAGAGAACATAAAAGGCAAGCCTCTTTTGAAGCCTGAACATGCTTATGGCAATGGCTGAAGCAACAAAAGAGAAGGTTGAAAAAAATCTTAATGTGTTACCAATTTGGTCACTATTCAATTTTTTTTTTTTCGAGACAGGGTTTCTCTGTATTGTTTTGGAGGCTGTCCTGGAACTTCCTCTGTAGACCAGGCTGGCCTCGAACTCATAGAGATCCTCCTGCCTCTGTCTCCTGAGTGCCAGGATTAAATGCGTGTGCCACCAACGCCTGGCCTATTCAACTATTTTAATAGTGATTGTAAAACTATTTTTGTAAAAGAACAGAGTAGAGGCTTTGCAAACCAAATATGGTCCTTGCAACATATTCTTTTTTTTTCTTTTTTGCTTGCTTGTGTATTTTCCTTTAAAATCTCAAAAATATTAAAAATAATTCAGAGAAAGACTGACAGGATAATCGTCTCAGTGGATTATAATTTGGTGAATTCTGTTTTATAAAATGCACTACCTTTAGTCTTTCAAAAAAGGGTTGTGGTTATTATTACTATTTCCTCATCAACACTCTTTCAGAAAGCAATTTCTTTTTCCTACTGAAATCTATTTTTTTCTAAAGAAAATCAGAACATACTATAGTCACTTAAAAAACTCATGGACCAGTACCATGGCTGCGGTGAAGTCACACAAAGTTACATTTTAAAAGATAGTATTAGTACTTTTCCACAGTTGTTTCTTGTGGCCCTAAGCGTAGTATTATACTAATCACTTTAGGTTGTGACTTAATGACCAGGCAATCTGGATTCCAAAGAAACTAATGTAGTTTAAGACATTAAGACTGATAACCTAAAGTCCCTGAGATTTTCTTGTACTTGAGACTGCAATGACCCATTCTCTGTATGCTGTCTCTATAGGACTCACTGGAGATCTAGCTGCAATACTTTAATTCTTATTTTAGTATGACAGTTTCTTGGTGATTGAGAATATCAACTAGCTTAATCACCACTCCTTTCATTATTATGACTTGTATAAATCTGATGTTTTTTTTAAGTTTACCAACAAAAGTCTATAACAGATAAGTGAAAACAGTCATATGAAATGTAACTAAAAATTACTTAAGGGACAGGCCATAATCTACTAATTTGCATTCTGATATATAAGCTTGAAAATCTGTACTATGTCATGTGACTCATACTTGATTATTTCTTTCACAAAGATACAATCAAATACTGATGTCTCAGTTCCAAGATGTATTAGCCAAAGCATAAATAGATTTATTAACGCAAGCACACTTGCATTTGGATAGCTTAACACCAAATATTCTGCCCACTTCACTGACTCATCTGATCAATCAACATTACCCTTTCAGTTAGTTGTGCTCTATTGCCAAAAGTATATTGACAGTCATATCAGTGCTCTTATTTGGAGGTACCATTGCACCTAAACAAATAAGACTGCTTCTTGAGATGCCAAAATCTTAATTAACAGTTATACTATATAAATAAATATATTGTATAAAAAGAGAAGTACTGTATATTTTGGGTGTTAAAGTATCATTAAAAAAAAAGTCTAGAGTTTCCTGAGTAGGGGTAGGGAATTATAATGAAAATAGTTGGAGAGACTTTGGTGTAAAGTAGTCCTGTTGTTTGCTTATACAATTAATCGCATCTTTGCTTATATTCTGAGTTCAGACAAATGAAAACTGGTATATATGAAACCCTGTCCTAAAGAGTTGAGAAGAGATGGGAAACTGGTGCTGGATATGTAATTCAGTATGTAGAATGATGGCCTAGCATACATGAAGTGCTAGGTTCAGTCCTCAGCACCATTTAAACCAATTCATCATGGTACTGCACACTTTAAATGCCAAAAGCTGGAAGATGAAGGGAGGATTATCAAAAGTTTAAGGTCATCCTCAGCTACATGTAGAATTAGAAGACAGATTTTATCCTGCTAACCTCTAAGGAAGCATGGATCAGTCACACATGCCAAAGGAACATACAAAAACCAACCAGGGACCAGGCAATTCCGGGCCTGTTTCTGGGCTCTCTTTCAGTGCCTGGGGACTGCCACTGAGCCTCCCCTCTCGGCAGGAGCCTACACATCCCAGTTTCTGGATCTTCTTCTTCACCCAAGGGACCAGGTTAACCAGGGCCTGTTTCTAGGCCCTCCAGTGCCTGGGGAATTCCAGTAAACTTCCCCTCCCAAACCAAGACTACACACCCCAGCCTCCTAGTCTCACACCCACAAGACCAGGACCAGAAAGAGGAGAACTACCACAGTATTGGACTTGCTTGCACTGACCGAAAGGGAACTCTGGTCCCCTAACCATCAGGACAGGAAGAGGCTCTTTCTGCCCCCACCAGAAGAAGAGATGGGAAGGAGACAATACAAAAACATACTCAGCAACAGAAAAACAAATATAACACCACCAGATTCTAGAGACTCTACACCAGTAAGCCTCTAACATTCCAGTACAAATGAAGCAGAAGAGACTGACCTTAAAAAACAACTTCTTGAAAATGACTTCCCCAAGTGAGGGGGAAAGGGAAAAGAGCTCCTGAACAAATAGAAAGCATGGGGGTAGAGGGAGAGAGGAAGGAGAAAGAGGAGGGGGAAGGAGGAGGGGAGAAGAGGAGGGAGGAGGAGAACAGGAGGGATCAGGAATACTGAGCGGGGAGATGAACAGAGGAGAGCAAGAAAAGAGACACATCAATTGAGGGAACCACTATAGGTTTAAAGAGAAATCTGGCACTAGGGAATTGTAAGAGATCCACAAAGATGACCCCAACTAGGAATCTAAGCAATAGTGGATAGCTACCTTAAATGCCCTTCTCCTATAATGAGAATGATGACTATCTGAAATGCCATCCTAGAGCCTTCATCCAGTAGCTGATGGAAGCAGAAACAGATTCACAGTCAAGCACTGAGCCAAACTCCTGGAATCTAGTTTCAGAGAGGGAAGAGTGACAAACAAAAGGGTTAAGACCATCATGGGAAAACCCACAGAAACACCTGACCTGAACAAATGGGAACTCATGGACGCCAGTATGACAGCTGGAGAATGAACATAGGACCAAACCAAGTCCCCTGAACATAGGCGTCAGCTAGGAGCACCGGGCAGTCTATGTGGCCTCTGGCAGTAGAACCAGGATGTATCCCTAGTGCAGAAATGGACTTCGGGAGCCCATTTCCCATGGAGGGATACTCTCTTAACCTAGATACACAGAGAAGGGCCTAGGTCCCGCCCTAAATGACTTGACAGATTTTGATGATCCCTCATGGAAGGACTCGCCCTCCCTGGGGAGTGGGTGGGGGATGGGAT